AAAATTCACTACCATTCAAAAATAGTTTTGATATAAACCATATACAATAATTTGAAAATAAAATCATGTTAAATCAACAAATTAAAAATTAAAAAAATTAATTAACAAATTAAAGCAAATTAACACACATAATTTTTACCCTCAGTCAAAAAAAACACCCAACCAATAAAAATAATCCAAACACAAAACAAATATCTTGGGACTACACCTAGATAAAAGACTCACTCGAGATACACAAAAAAAAACAAAAGATCTTCCCTTAGCTTAAAACTTAACAAATTTAAACAATTACTCCATTCTAATCTCTCTCTTGATAGTAAAATTCTCGTGTATAAACAAATCATTCGACACTTAATGACTTATGGTATTCAACTGTGGGGAACAAAAAAAAAAATCCAATCTAAACAAACTCCAACCTTCTTACAAATTCTCAATGGTACTTCAGTAATCTCACTCTTCACGATCTATAAATTCTAAGCCTTCCCACTCTAGCATCTATCCTTTACAAAAATACCTACTAATTATCCTAATACTCTCACTAATTTCTCCATCTTCACACTCTCTAATAACCAAACCCATTGACTAAAATTAAATTGGCCACGTAACTTACTTTAAATAAATTCTAAATTCTCTCGGTAGTAGTGTCACAATGCACCGCCTTCTCACACGTTACCATGCCTTGTGCATAACTTATAAAAATTGCTAATTGTAAAAAAAAAAAACATTACAGATTGTATATTTTATTGTTTCTAATAAAAAAAAAAGTTTTGTCCCTGAGATGATGTATGAATGCAAGCAATTATGAAATTATAAAAATATTTTTGGTTATTCTATGTAATTTTGATTTAACATTTAAAATATTTTCAAATTTGAATATAAACAAAAGATAATTTATACTTATAACTACAGGTTCAATAAGATACTACTGTATCGAAAACAAAATATGTCATATCCTACTGCAAATAATTCTCCACCTCTCCAATTTCTAATAAATTTTCATTTATACATGTGCGCCATGGTCCTACTCTCTGGCTGAACCAATTATAGTTTAATTTAAATAAGTATTATATTATTTGATTTAAATGTTATCTAACCTTGATAATTTTGAAAAAATATCATATTAAACAAAATATTCATAAAAAAAAAAAAAATTATAATAATTTCATCTTCAAGTCATGTTTAATGACACATTACTCATATATAGGTACTTCAATGTGCATTAAAGCATAATATGGATATTCAAGGTACCTACCATGCAAATAAAACTATGAAAGTAATTGGAAAGAAAATCAATGTTAATTTTAGGTCAACAATATAAATTAAAATACTTTCATATGGGTAAGTATATAACAAAGTATAAAAAAAAAATTCATTAACATCCTACTTTTAAAGAAAAGTGTGGTGCAGTGGTTAATTGGCTATCATACTTTCAGTCATCAGTTTGAACTAGACTTTGTCGTAACACACTACAGAATAAACTCTATAGTCCTTTTCTCCAGCAATCGTTCATGTTGCTCTAAACTGCTGCTCATTGGACCAACTCACTAGGAGTGAAGTCACAAGATAATTCATTACTAAGAGAAGGGGTTACAAGTGATACTTCACTCTACATTCCTAAGTCAAAAAGATATTGACAAGGATTTTTGTTTTGACAATGTTGATTCAATGGGAAATTTAAAGAAAAAAACATTCCTACTCTATTTATAAACTACAGAATAATAAAAGTAAATATAATCTTTATTAATACTAAATAATCAATGCATTTTGAAATGTTTTAGATACAGATATACATATATTATTCCTAATTTAAATCGAATAATACGTATAAGTACAACTTCAGAACATTAAAAATAGAAATTACAAGTAGATAAAAATCTATACAAAATATATAAATAAACTACAATTAAATAATAATTACAGCACAAGCCTTTTTTAATACATTATAATGTATACAATTTAAAGATATTCAATCAATTAAAAGCAAAGGAAACAATTAATGTAAACAATGAAAATTGTCTACCTAAACTAACTTATTTCTAAGTAAAATGAAATAAATAAATAAGAATAAATTAATATATTATTCATAGATATATAATATACATTTACAATTTAATAAAAACATTCCTATAACATGGGCATATTTAAGGATGGGGCGAAGGGGCAATCGCCCCAACTTGAATCCATATTTATAAATTGATTTTAAGTGACATACACAATTTAAATTTTTTTAATGTAGATCATTTTATAACGAAATCAAATTACGCGTGGCTGTGAATACTGAAATAGGCTTTTTGTCGGGTCTATACTAAATGAAAAGTTAAATAAAATACAAGCATAACTTTCAAAACACAAGTAGGTGTTAAAAAAGAACTACACAAAAGTCGATTCTAAGTGGATTCATCAGATTTAAATAATACCAATAATTTAACTTGTAAAGTTTGAATATGAATTCAAGAAAAAATTTGAGTCCTCCCCCTTAGAAGTCTAAATACGCCCCTGGCTTATAGTTACAATTATTTAAAACTATACACTAAACTTAAGTTAAAAATGGAAACTTGATGCTTCTTAAATGTATTTAAACAAATAAATGTAAATAATTACCAAACTAAAGTGCAGTAAATTAAAATTAAAACTTCTATAGATTCGCAAAAGATGTGATTAATATTTTTTAATAAACTATACGAAGGAAGGTAGGTAAGGTTGGTAGTTAGGTTACATGTTAAAATACATATAAATATAGTCACCAATAGTTCACAATATACCAATACATATTATAAATCATTATATGAATTACGTTGTTACTAGTAAAAATGAAGTCAGTGTTATCATTTTCAATATCGAACGTAACATACGTCAAACCCTTTTGTTCTACTTTTAGCGGGAAAACAACGCACTAACAAAACACACCCAAAGGCGGATGAATTAATAAAAGAGTAATACATTTTTAGTTAAATAACTTTGATATGGAAAGTAATATTGGTACATTAAAATAGCTGATGTTGGGGTGTTCTTTAATATAAAAAAATAAAGCCAAACGTTGGTATCTTACGGAAAATCTTACGACCATAATAAGAAGAAACTTACTTGCTAGTGTTCCTCCTGATGTCGCCAATGCCAACGTTAAAGTTTGTAGAAGTCATTATTCGTTCTTTGGAAATAAAACGAAGTACAAGGAAATTGAATCAAAAAAATTCTCGTTAAAAAAAATGTGAATTGTGAGCAAGAGACCGAACTGGGAGAGCAACGAACGGAAATTAATAAACAGTACCAACCAAACGACCATTGACCAGCAGCATAATTTCACTCGTTCGTCACCAAATTGATAACACTAACATCGGTGAGTAACGGTTCAATAATCCGTTGTAATTTCAAATAATCTGTATATATTTATTTTATTATAATGAAATTTAAATTGCAATTAATTTATTTGTAATGAAAATCATAAGAATTCGCATAAAATATTAATTTACTTTATCAATAGTAAAATAAAATGAAATAGTTGGACAATTATAATTTAAAAAACCAGTACAACCTCTTAGGAAAAAAATTCAAATATTAATTTTAGCGGTAATCTGTTATCAATAAATATCACATTATATTTATTAAATTATTATGGTTTGCTTTACTTATAGGCGTCACTACGGGGTAGCTATTGTTATTAACCATCTTTATTGGGGTAGCAAATTAATAGCTATGACACCCCACGAGAAATTTATGTAACATTTTATTGTTTTTTTCAGAAATTAATCAAATATAATCTTAGTATATATATATATAAAATCAAAATACCACTTAGTCACTGATCGTTGATTGTTGTATTTTTATCAATTCTTATGAACAATTTACTAGGACTTATCTTTCTAAGGACACGTGTTCTAGAGGTCATTTATGTGAATTATGCTCAATATTTCATAATATGTTATTGTGTATTATGTATTTAAAGTTCAAAGTGTTAAATTTTGACTAGGTAGTTTTATTTTTTTTAGAATTCACACAGTCAATGTGAGAGGGGGTGGGAGTGGGCTAAAACTCATTAGTCCTCCTCCCTATGGGTTGCCAATGTTGCTACCCTATAGTTTTATTCCAAATGACGCCCCTAGGTTTGCTTAATATTTTTCCATATGCTTATGAAAAATAGTGGTGTTCATTTCATTCCTGAAATAAATTTAATTATGATATCTATCAATTATTATACAATGTATTATTTTTTTACTTGAAACATGTAAAACAGTCTGTAATTATTTGTATAAAAGTTACTTAATTTTAATGATTTTATTTTCTAAGTATAAATGGTTTTGAAATGTTTAAGTTATTTGATATTAAAATGCAATGTAATAATTAATGAATTATTAAAAAGTAACTATAGTAGTTATGACGTATAGTGATATTTATATAAGTTTCTATTGATATTTTATTCAAAGTATTTAAATTCTTAGATATTATATTTGCATACATACTACAGTCGATGCCAATTTCTATTAATGATTAATGATTTTTATATAGGACATATTTTCACCATAGTTAAATTTAAAATTTAATTTGCATTATTATAAAGTCTGAAAAATATGTGCCCAATCGGGATGTAAATAATTAAAATCAAATATATTTTAAAATGTCAATATCATGTAAGTCTTTAAAAATATTAAAGAGAAGATATTCATTTTAAATATTATTTTACTTTAAAACAATAAAAAACATTACTTACAATCCTGTTTTAAATTATATTTCACTATAATTAATAATTATTTTAATTTTAAACAATTATTTTAATCAATGAATAATTAATTTAATACAATATAAATCATAATAATGATATAATCATTTTATAAAATAAAACTATACATTGTACATATTAATTTCTCATATTTAATGTTATTTAATTTATTTTATTTATAGAATAAATATTTAATTTACATCATTATTGTACAATATTTTTATAAACATAATAATATCAACTAACAACAAAATATTATAAAAATATAGAAATAAAAAACTTTATTATACATAAAAATGGGAAATCAAATTATTCTCATTTTATGAATATCTAAAACACTATATCAAGTATTTCACATTAGAGCCAATACTGATATTAGTTATATTTAAAAATTGAGGAATGTTAGATAGGAAGCATTTTTGGTTCAATTAAAATCTCATTAACAGCACAAAATGATGGTTGAGTAACAGCATAGAGAACAGCTTCTGCAATATTTGATGGCTCAAGAATTTCATTATTATGACTGCAATCGTATCGTTTTAAAGCCTAAATTTAAAAAGTATATAAAATAATAAAGTAAATAATTAATTAGATGAAAAACTTAATATTTGTACCCCATTAGTGCTATTAATAGTATAATTGAAGCTTTTAGAAAATATTTACCTCGTAATCACTAGTTCTATTTAATAATTCAGTTTTAACATCTCCAGGTTGAATGCATGTAACTTTAATATTATATTCAGTCATCTCAGTCCTTAGTGCACTAGCTACACCTTCCATAAAATATTTTGTTCCTGAATACACCCCTAAACCTGGAAATGACTATAAATAATTGTTATTAGATAATATTATTGTTCTTGACTTATCTATACAACATACTCTTCGTCCAGCGTTTGAAGTTATATTAACAATGTGTCCAGAATTTCTTGATGTCATTATTGGTAAAACAGCTCCAAGACAATTTAACATACCATTACAATTTACTTTAACCATTTCATCCCATTCATTTACTTTACATTTTTCAAACATTGAATAAAACATAACTCCTGCATTATTAATCATTATATCGATTGGACCAATTGTTTGTCCAATGTTTTTAATTATTTTTCTTACCTAATTACAAATAAATCAATATAAATATCAAACTTATAAAACAATAAATAAATAAAATATCTACAATTAAATATACATTTATAGGATTGGTGATATCCATTTCACAAGGAATAATTTTATTCTCATTAACTCCATGTGACAATATTTCATCTTTTAATTCATGCAAACGATTTATTCGTCTTCCAGTTGGAATCACTATAGCCCCAGCTAATGCAAATCTTTTTGTGATTTCATAACCAATTCCTGAGGAGGCGCCCGTTATGAGTACAACTTTTGATTTTAAAGATGATATTGATAATGATTCTACTGGATCTAAATAAATATATAGTATGCTATTATTTGTTGAATTATAAAAATGTATTTTTTAAACAAGATTTAGAGGAAAAAACTGCTAACAATGACAAATAAGTACTGCAAGTCTTACGACATTTAAATCAATTAACAATACATAAACATTAGTTAATTTTTAATGATCAAAACCATAATCTATATTGAAAGAAATTACTGAGCAGTAAATACTGTACTGTTAAAAAATTTACTTCTATTTAATTATCAACATTTATAAAGAAAAACATTAGTATTTGAAATTTATTAAATATAGTTTAAATACAATGAAAATAATAGTTCTATTTAAAAATATAAATGTCAATTATTAATTATATAAAGAGTTACAAAGGTAGGTAAAATGATTAGTAAAATTAACATCAACTAAAAAAAAATTGTATAATAGTAGAAACTGAGCTGAATCAAGTGGGAAGGTATATTTCAAAACTATATTATAATATACAATAAACTATACTAATTTTTATTAATATTTATTAAAAATTATTAAATCTGAATAAAAGATTAAATTTTTTAGGATGAAAAAGTCTTACCAAAAATAATAACCCTTCTATAATATGGACATAATTTGATCATGAATAATATTATAAAACAGTTTAAAATCAAAAATAAATACAAAATTTGTATCATATTTTTAATTACCTTTTATCTGAGGAATCAAGCTCAAATGAGCTAATGTTTTCAATATTCTATAACATTCATTTTTATCCAAATGTGGGTACTTTAAATTGACAAAAGATAAATATCTCTCAACATTTGTAATTTTTACAGTAGGTTGATTTTCTAAATAATCTTTATTTTCCATTGTAGAATTTAATAAATAAGTAAGTGGAGCCAACTTAGAATTACTATTTGAATTTTTCTCTATTATCTGTGACCATTTATCATAAGTTACACATTTTAAATCATAACCAATGTCAGCCATAACTTCCCATAAATTACTATAAATAGACAAATAAAAGTTGTAAAAATATTTATTCTATAACACAATTTAAATTCAGTCATACTTTGAATCGAAAGGTTTATCAATTAAATGATAAATTTTGCCTGATGATTCATCTAAATTTTGTGCTAATTGTACAATAGTACTTGCAATGAAGTCAACAGGGGTCAATTCAATCTATAAAATATAAATTATTTGTTTTATTAACTTATATCATTTTTTATGTAAATATAATTATAATAAATACCTTCCAATTTATATCAGGATATGTATTTGTAAATAGTACACCTTGTATTATAAATAATGTAAGGTCTGCTGAATTCCAGCTATGTATAAATCTACTCCCACCTATATTGCCACATCTAAATATTGAAGCTGGTAATCCTTTTTTAACAGCATTTAAAACCAACTGTTCAGCAAGCCACTTAGTTTGTCCATAACCTCCTTTTAATAATGGTGCCCAGACTTTTGGGTCATCATTTTCTTTGATATCTTTAAAACCTTGAGGAAAAACTGCTGATGAGCTAAAAATAATATTAAATCAATTTTTATAAAATATAAATTGAAAATTAAAAAATATTTTAATCTAAATTTTATTATTTGTAAAATATATTAATAATATTGTTGCTGATACATGCATGATTAAAATTAAGTTTGTAGTATACCAATAATTTTATATTAAAAAAATAGGTACAGTTACATAATTAAAAACGAGGTATTTTGACAAATAACCTATACCCATGTAAATAATTCTTAAATTAAAACTATTTATAATAAAATGCATATCTTCACCCTAGGGTTATCATATGGATCAATAAACTGGGACATGTTTAAATGTATGACCAAATATATACCAGTTTATAACTTTGGTCACAGTCTTCCCATTAGACTCTCTTAAAGTTCTGTTTAGATGTAAATAAAATACCATAAATTATAAATTAAGTTTTTAAGCAATTTTAAAAGTACTGGCTGCAGTTTATTTTTCTTATTGTAATTATTATAATTCTGATATTAAACATAAAAAAAAAAGTTGTTAAAATTTTTTTTGTTTCGATTAGTACAATTCAACAGTATACAATGTAATTTGGTATATTGTATGTATTATACTATACATGGAAGCATATAAATACTAAATTGAAATTGTATGCAACTAATATTGCTCATATAACTTTTTTGGTACTGACTTACCTAATATAATGAAGAGGTTTTATTTTACCATCTATACAAAACTGTATTATATTTTTGGTACCAATAACATTATTTTTATACAATGCTCCAAATGGATATGATAAATTAACCTGAGCAGCTGCATGGATAACATAATCAATTTCATAACAAATTGCATCGTATTCATCATCTGGCATTCCAAAATGTATTAAAGATACATCCCCTGAAATACAATTATACAAAATACAGTTTTTTAAAACATTAACCTAACTGGAGAAGGTAGTTATGATATATATGATAACAGATAAATGAACAATAAACAACTATATTACTAAAAATAAATGTTCTACCCTACAAACATCATGAAACAGTCAACAGTTAATACACCAATACATATTGTTTCTAGTTCTATTTTGCTTATATTAAAACAATGGAAACTTTTCATTAGATATTAAAAAACATTTATATGTTACAAGACTACTGAACTGTGTATATCATATAGAAGTTAACATAAATAGTTTCAACCATACAACAAATTAAAATTAAAAATATAAAACAAAATTTTACTAATTTAAAAAATATATATATTATTTATTTTACGACATTTAAAGGTAATATAGTATACAAATAATTATTTATGATCAGAGACCTTAATGATTTTAACAGTTTCGGTTAGGGTTCAGGTCTTTTAAAAAATATTTGGGGGTTTAGGTTAAATTTTGAGATTTCATAAAGTTCAAAATTTAAGTTACGATTAGAACTGGTTTAATATTAAAGTAATAATATGCATAATATAATAATATAATATTCATCAGTTTTTACGTTAGTGTAATTCATATTAACGTTGTCGATTTTTGACTATCGTCGTAGACTGTTAAGGTCCCCGATATACAGACAACGCGACCAAAAATAACATCATGTAGTTACTACATTATACTATATTATATAAAATATAATTTTTGTTTCTAAACAATATATTTTTAGTTAAAATGTTTAAAAGTTACTATTTAGTTTCTAATGCAGTCATTTATTTCTACTTAACTATTTGAAAATCCTAAAAAACTGGTATTTTTTTAGCTTTTTTTTATAAAGATTTCATTTTTGGTTAGGGTCTTTTAAAAATGTCAAATACAGGTTACAGTTTCAGTCCTTGCTTATGATATAGATTAACTTAAGATTATAACAGTATATATAGTACTTGACTTGAGGGGGATGGAGTACCCCAACTAATTATTATGTTATAAATATAACGCTTAACAAGTCTTGGGGCACTATTTACTTTAAAATAAACTGAGTCTACCTCCTTTAATTTTGTCAAGTCTAGCACTGAGTATATACAATACAATTTATTAAAATATGATTTATTAGATATTTTCAAGGCGCTAATCTAGTGACTGTTATAATAATGTATATTTTAATAGATTTATTAAATAACCAAATATTTATTAGTATTATCATTGATTTCATAATTTACCATATATTGTAAAATCAATGGTATTATTTATACATCATAAAATATTTACATACCTTTTAAGACAACCACATTAGAATAAAAAGGGCTATTTGAAGAACCAACATTTATATTATATTGTTTCATTGTTCGTTCAAGCTTTTCTAGTGGCTTATAATCTGTTGAATCTCTTATCAAGCAGAATATTTTCACCTAAATGTAAAATATTTAAGTATTATTCATATTAAATTAAGTAAAAAATATATAAAAATTTATACAAAATAAGAAATATAACCTGTGTTTGCAATAACTTATGTAAAATAAATGCACCAACAAATCCTGTTGCCCCAGAAAGTAGTACATTTCCATAAGTAAATTTATTTTTATTTAAATTTACAGCTTTCCAAAATGATTTAAGGCTATTATTTGGGCTAAAAATATAAAATAATATTTTTTAGTTAGGTACCTATTTAGAAACTAATTATAACTATTACATGATAGAATTATCAACAATTTTATTTAGTTCCTCCAATAAGTTTATTTTATTTGATGCAGATATGTTGTGATCTAAAAGTGATGCCATCATTTCAACACTAGGATTTTGAAATAAATCTTGCACACGTAATTTAATTCCAAATGTATCATTTATTTCACCAATTAAACTGGCTGCTAATAATGAATGCCTAAAATAAAATAAATTATCATCATTAATAAAGTGGAACACAAGTTAAAAGATTTGCTGTAATATGCGAATAAAAGCAAATTAAAAAAAGAAGAAAAAAAAGTTAAAAGATTAAAAGAATTTCCTAAAGTAATTAATTTTAGTTAATATATCAATATATAATTATAAAAAAAGAATAAGCCATACAATATAACTACCATAACTAGAATATCGAAGTTACATAAGCTTAGTATTTCATCAAACAAAAAACTTATTTTGGTTGAATAATTATTACTTATTAACTGCTATCAACTATTAACAATGTAAGATTATAAATTCATTATCAAATATTGCTTAAGTTATAAACCATACTAGAAAAAAGTTTATTGATAAAAAAAGTTTAGTTAGCCATTAGGGCAGTTATTTTCAAATATTTATGCAATGAGAAATTGCAAAATTTGAAAAAACAATTTTGAGAAAAGCTAATATTAGAGATAAAATAATAAAAATAATACTTAGTTTTAAGGGATAGGAGGAAACATTAATAAAACATTTAATATTTAATAATTCCTTGTTTTAAAATTACTTAACATTATGATGTGGATGTTAAGATGAATTAATTTTTATAATTAAGAACTATTTTTTATTTATAATTTCTTAAACCAAGTTAATTTATGAATGTTAACAATTTTAGGTATTTGTACAGTTAGAAACTGGTGTTCAGATCTTCTAACAGTTAAAAAATAAATAAATTAAAAAAAACCATGTATTAGCTAATTAGATATACGAGTATGCATTACCTACATCTATATCCACAAAATATACATGCAGAATTCTAATGAAATTTATTTCCACAACAATGGAGTTTACAGAAAATTAAAATACTGTAATTAAATTATAAAGTAATTTAAAACTAAAATAAGAATCATAATGTGATATTATAATTATTTTATGAAAATATTATTTAATGTTTATTAAGTACTTACCCTCCATTCTCAAAAAAATTATCTTGAACATCAATACTATAGGTTTTTAAAGATCTACAAAATATTGTGGCAACAATTTTTTCTGTTTGAGTTTTACAATTTTCAATTATAGTTCCATTTGTTTTATCCAGGTTAATTTTTGGTAAAGCTGATTTATCCAATTTACTTGTAGCTTCCACAACTGGCAATCTAAATTTAGTAAATATTTGTTTTTAACAGTACAATTTGCTTATACACAAGTGTATATTTATTAAATTAAAAATAAGTAAATTATTGACTAAATTAGTAATTTTTAAATGGAAATCAAAAATCCAAATTTACTATAAATTTATACAAAAATACAGATGAACATTTACTATATATGTATACAGCAGAAGATAAATCACTTCTTATATAAAAAATTGTAAAAAAAACATTTAAATTGAGGCTTTGGTCATAGGTTATGGTTCATAAATATTATAAATGCTAAGGAGCTGGGATATCCAAGGACATTTGTATTAAAACCTTAATTGAAAGAATAGTATTGTTATTAGTGTATGTATAAGAATGAATTTAATTAACAAAAAATTAAAATCTATTTAAGATTTTATTTAAATTCTAGCTTTGATTATTTTATTTTATTTACATACATCTATGTATAAAACTCAATATTTTTGTTGAATAGTAAGGTCGAGTAAGAAAGATTTTTTTTACATTTACTGTTTTTGATTCTTTATATTCAATATATATACCTTATATCTGTGCTTTAATCTTAAAAAATAAATGCATTAATAAATTTTCATGAAAAGTGGTTTTTATTTTTGCTTGGTTTTCTAGTTAATTTTATTATAATTATTTTTTTATTTTTTTTTATATATATGAATGAATTTCCATACTACTTAGTCCACATTAAAATATTATGCATAATATACAATATTTATTACATCATGGACGCCTAAAGAGGAATGTATTTGAAATGCCCTGGATTTAAAATAAAAAAAAAACAATATTTAAAAATGTAAGATAGAGGCTATTATTATCATTATTGGATATCCTAGTATCCTACTTTTTTTTTTAGCTGTCGAAAAAACGAAAATAAATTTGTATTGTCATACAACTTGAAAACGTATTTAACTTAAATAATTGGTAGTGATGATGTACCATTGGTGCAACTAGGGGGAGACTTAAGGGGGCTTAGCCCTCCAAAATGTATTATAGCCCCCTCAAATTTTTTGATTATTTAAAATTTAATGATAATTTAAGCATGGGATAGTGAGATACATACTAAATAATATGAATATATGAGGCAGAGAATTATTCAAAAGTAAATTATATAAATATAAAATATTATTATTATAGTTTATTTTGTAATTCCTACAACCCTACATAATTAATAATAATATTGTCTAATAAATGTGACGGACGACGGTGGAATATTGCGATGGTGTTATGTCATATTTTATGTAAAACATATTACATAGAAGTAGGTACATGATTTTTAATAATATAGTATGGTAATAATATTTTATGATTGTTTTTATTTCAATTAATAATTATTGTTCTGTGTCTGCGGCAATGGGGGGTATGGAGGGCGAAGCCCCTCATAGCTCACATTGACTATATTTATTTAAAGGGCTTCAACCCCCTCAATATTTTAGACCTAGTTGCGCCAATGTGACGTACGTGATCTACCAAACTTGTTTTTAAGTAGTCCGTGATCTACCCAAATCTACCAAGAATATTATTTAATTTCCGTATTATTTTCATCTTTATTATTATTAGTTTATTGAGCTTTATTACACGTTAAATGATTTTCTTCATTTCGGGGTAACAACTGTTTGCTTTTTAAATAATTCACACATGTTTGTTCGTTACAAATAATATTACGATAAAAATGTCCGATTATTGAACTCATAATGAAATATTAAAAAATTAAATATTATTTACTATTGTTTAACGAGTAGAGAATAGTGGCGTCGGTGGCGGCGTCTGAGCGTTTGGCTATCGTATCTTATATATATTTTTTATTTTATTTTATCGTATTAATTGAACCATAAAAAGGAAGTCATATAAACGTACGGCGCTCGGAGTAATCAGTAGATCGCCTATTTGGGTAGATCGCGTACAACATCACTACCCAATAATTTAAACATTATTTAGAAATCAGCATATATACCAGGGTTGGTAATATACGTGTATAAAACGTTTTATACGTTCACGTATATCCCAAGTATAAAACGTATAAAATGACTAAAACGTATTATTCGGTTTGTTTTTGAAATTCACTCTTAAAAATTAAACATAATTCTTATTTTAGATATTAAGTAAGGTTTTTAAATTTTATACATTGTAAAAATATATTTTACTGCTATTTTATATAATATATCTACTTAAGTTTTTCGTTTATAATCTATTAATATAAAATATTAAAAGTGTTACAAATATCCCAAGTACAATGAATTTACCATAAATACGTCCGTGATAAAATAATTATAATTATTAACAATAGATTAATATTACCATAATTGTTTATTTATAATTTATATTTTCTTATTTTATTGTGTTTAAATTATAAATGCTTTTTTGTTTATAAGGGATTTTATTTTTATACAGTATAATACGTGTTTTATATTATACCGTATTATACGTTTCAACCCTGGTATATACTACGCATTATGCACCCACTAAAGAAATTCCTGGCGATGCTTATGTATTACATACATTTTTTACACATAATTGATGCTAATAAGTTTACTAAAGACAATTTATTAAAGATAACTCAAAAAAACTTCAATAAGTAGGTAAGTTAAAAAAGTTAAAAATACAAGACCTTTGATAAAATATATTACACAGTACAAAACAAAAAAAAGGCAATTAGGCTAAAATTGAAAGATAATATTTAGTTATTTAATATATTTACTTTCCCCAAAACTAGTGTTAACTCACACCACAGATATATAAACTTGCAAGTGTTTTATGCGTTTTTATAAATATTTTGTAAAAATATAATCTCGCAATAATTAATATTTTTAAACTAAGGGTATTAAGAAAGATATTTTATGTATTTACGTCCTAACTTCTGCGGAAATGGATGTTTTGGCGCTGAACCGGTTGGACGTTGACCTTTATGGTGCCATAGTTTTAAAAATGTGTGCATTTGACAAATATATACGGGACAGTCTCTATGTATAAAATATGAATAATGAATTATAAAAATTAAATTTATTTTATAAGAATGTAACTTATTTACTAATACTTATTTTTATTTAATAGACTAGAAAATCATGGAAAGAAAAATATGTACGTTCATATTTATATAAAAAAAAATGTATTTTGTATCATTTTTCTGAAAAAATTTATATTCCTGTCAAATGCACAAATTTTTAAAATTGTGGTGCTATAAAGGTCAGCGCCAAGTCGGTCCAACGCCAATACGGCAGTGCTAAAATGGCGATGTCAAAATATCCTATGTATATTTATATATTGTTTATTTATTTATTTATAGACCGTAACTTCGAAGGGATAAAAATAAAAAGTTTGAACTCATGACACTCCACCAAGACATTGAGTATCTTGCACATCAAAATTATAAAAAATAATGCGCGTGTTAATTGGTAGCATATCATTTTACGCGGAATACAATATAAAATTGTTGCCAGTCAGTAAAAAGTATAGTAGGTACTAGAAGAATATATTATGACTTCGGAGGTAGCTAAAGAATTGTGGGTCAGGTCAGATCTATTTCAAGAAGCCACTTATTAGGCTGAAACTGAATTATAAATGTATACCTAGTTACAAAAAAAAAAACACAATATGATCATGTGTTTTTAAGTTTATACGTAATTATAATTAAAAATATTTATTTTATGGAGAATTTCATCTAACATGGGTCCGGTGAATAGATGTTTTATTGTACTATACAATTAAGTGGTGCTATTTACCCCGATTCTAGTATTAACTTTAATCTATAGTTAAGTGTGCCACTTAAAAAAATAAATAATAATAAAAATAAGAAGTCTTCTAAAAACAATTTTGTGAACAAATACTAAATGTGGATCAGGTGACCTGAACCCTCTTTAGATCTACCCTTGAACAGTGATCGACTTGGCAAAATTAAAAAAGAGGGAATCTGCTTAAAAAAAAGCGTCCCCAAAACTTGTTAAGCGTTATAATTATAAAATTTCTGAAAATTAGTTGGGATACTCCGTTCTCCTGCGTTCTCCCTCAAGTCGATCACTGCCCCTAAATGATTCATCAAGGAAATAAAATTGTTGCATTGATATACTTTATAACAATACATCAATACTCAATGCTTTTAGGTTTCTGGAATCAATAGTAAACATTCAAAGTTCATGCTTAGTGTTTACCTAATTCACCTAAATTATTTATACGATCATCAATGATAGATTGTATATATTGCCATATTATCATCTGAAAAATACTGTTTTTATTAGACCAGTACTATAGATGATTTTGAAAGATCTTTGAAGATTATGAATCATAGTGATCTGTATCTAATTGATTTTAATAATTTAAATTGTAGATTAATGTATGTATTATTAATATTATTTCGTTGTTTTAAAATCACTTTATCTCATAAATGATAAAAAAATTATATATTATTAATACATAAGTAAAAAAAAAAAATTTATACAAACCTATCAAGGAAGCAAAAATGAGGTGGCACCATATAAAATGGTAATTTAAACTTCAATCTTAATCTTAACGACGTTGCAGATAGCTTTGCTTCGGATTTTAATACAACATAACCTATCAACATTTTGTCAGTGCCTTCTTCTCCAATGGATACAACACATACTGAATTTACTTCAGGTTCGTTTAAAATAGTAGCTTCAATAGCCTAAAATTAAAATGTGATTCTTACAAACGGTACATACACAGTATGGTAGACCACATTATAACTAAAATTGATGAATACAGAGATACAGTAGAGAGAGTAAGTAATAGGAAGATGATAATAATAATAATTAAGTACTTAAAGTATTCAATTTTTTTTTTTTTTTTTTTGTAAAACGTTTACTTATAACCGAACGCCAAAATCAATCATTTTATATATGATTCTAGTTAGAAACCTATTTTAATGTAAATTTATTTTTGTTTGTTTCAAACTGTTATAGATTATTTTCGACAACTTAGTTATATAAAAATATTGACAAAAAGTAAGTACCTATACTATGACACTTTATATGAAATTTAAGTTATGTTCATAAATATGTATGTACCTAAGTATTTAATTAAATTGTATTGGTATAGATATACTGACCTGTAGTTCAACAGTATAACCTCGGATTTTAACCATTGTATCACATCTTCCTCTAATCTCTAAACTTCCATCAGATGTTAAACATCCCCAATCACCGGTTTTATACAAGCGATCGCCAAATTCTTTTGGTACTGTATTTGGTCGACGGATAAATCGTAGAGCATTTAATTCGGGACGATTGAAGTATCCGATAGCGAGCGTAGGCCCTCCAACGTAAATCTATATTATTATTGATAAATTTACACCAATCCTCAACGAATATTATTTAAAAGAATGAAATATGATTTTACTTCACCGGGAACTCCTATGTTCTTAACTCTGTATTCGTTATCCATTATCACTATATGCACATCAGGTAAAGTTTTGCCTACTGGAGCAAATTGACTTTGCTCTAAATCGCAAGCCTTTGAGATATCTATTCAAAATATTATTCAATGTATATGAAACCAATATTTTGATTAGAGAATAAAATAATTTGTACAATGAAAAATCATAGTATGATTATATATTTATATATTATATTATATACAGTACACCATGTGGTATTGTGGTAAAACATTAATCAACGAGAATTTAAATTTAAATTTATTAGATAAATTAAACTATATAGCAACAAAAAACATAAATAAATTGATTGATATTAATTATATATTAATATAGATATTATAATCTAGTAGTCTATAAAACTTTTAAAATATCTTATCGGAAAACAAAGTTTATAAAGAGGTAGCACATTTAATGATATAAAATAACATAAAAAAAATTAAAAATATGTTAAAGTTAGTTGAAACGATTTGTTAAAATAATTAAATTTAACTTGATGAAAAAAGTAGAAAGGGATTGGAGCGCAATCGTGTTGCAGCCTCAATCGCGATTCAACGAAAAGCGTAGAGCTTAAGAAAATAAAATATTGATAAGTACGTTTTGTGTATCTATACTTATAACAAAATCAATATTTTTTAACCCGTCTATATAGGTGTCTTACAAATTATTTGTGCACCATATTATGTGAATCTCACAAGTCGCCATTGGTTTATATTCATTATTATTATTTATTACCAGTATGTTTTGAATTTATTCTAAACATAGCATATTTTTTATTAAATAAATGCTTCATTTGTCTAACATATTTTGATATTTTTAATAACTAAAACGAAAAAAATTAATAACAATTAAATAATATTTACCGGCACAGGTTACATCATGGCATTCGGACACACTATAAAAATTCAACATTTTAACCCACGGAGCAATTTTTTCTATTCTATCCCTTAAAGCAGATGTCATTACTTCTCCACAAATCCAAATTTGTCTAATAATAATGTTATAATTAAATATTATCCACAAACGATATTAATAATTTATTGTAATAAATATTTCACCTAAGTGTTTTGAATCCTTCGGGTATGTTTATACCCTTGTAATCAAGGACAGTTTGTAAAAGAGAAGGTGTAAATAACATTCTTGTAATTTTATTTTTCCTTAAAAATTCTAATAATCTTGGTGGATCATAGATAGTATCATCAGGAATTATATACAAAGGAAGTCCTGTAAAAAATAAACATATATATATTTATACAATAATTATATAGCATATAAGATATAAGATAAGATTTATTATAAAACATAAACATTAAATTCTCAAATATTGTTAACATAATTTTTTTAATGCCCAATATTTCTTGAAATATTACAAAAGGAGACGAAACTCCACAGTCGGGTGAAACATAGCGACGGGTGAATGGTTTTGTTGTTGTATTGATCTTTAAAAATTGAATCCAATATATCTTTGCTCTTGAAAAAACTATTCGGAGTGAAAAATCAATTCATATTTCTGAAGATGATTAATATAATAGAAGAACCAAATTCTTTATATTCCTATACGTGTTTAAAAAATATATTTAAAAATTATATTTTAATAAATATCTCTAATATAGCCGAGTGCAGCCTACATAAGGTGTATTTAAAGAATACGGCTAAATTTAAACGATTATTCATTAGTGAACTTACGATACGGAGGACAGTATTCATGATATATCTCATATTCTCTTAAATTATCCATCATTATTCGTCATACATACTAATTTAATTAATTTTCTTAACTCTATAAATAATCCTCCTACTTATTTTCTCCATCTATATGCATCCTAGTTCTGTATAAATTATGAACCTGGTTATATTATTTAATCAGGAAGCTGGCTTTGTAATTTGATCTTAAGTTGCATATAAATTGTACATAACTGTTGAGCTTAATAACTAATTTTAAAACTAAATTAGAAAAAATTACATAATTACCTTTTAATAATGGTCTAATCATTTCCCAAATAAAAAATACATTACAGGCTTCTCTATCGTCTTCTACATACGGAAATGCTTTATGTCTCCATGTAAAAGAATATACAGCACCACGGTGAGGACATAAAATACCTGTATAGGTATCATATAAAATCATTGTACAACATCAAATGTCTAATAAATATGTACCTTTTGGTTTTCCTGTGGTGCCTGATGAAAATACTACCATCAATATGTCATCGAGTTCACTTTTTTCAGGTTTACAAGAGTCATCCAATGATATTTTTAAATTCTCGTACCAATTAACATCCATAATAATTAATTTTTGTCTATTAAATCGATTTTTATAGAATGTCTTAGTAATAATTGCTTCCGGATTTGTATCTTCTAAAATGGAGCTAAGAAGTGTTGAAGGATACGATACTTCTATGATGAGACATGCACCTCCTACATAAATTTAATACATTTTACTATTTTAGAATATAATTTGGATGATTTAGTTTTATTAATCAAATATGCGAATAATATCATACCAGCTTTTTGAATAGCAATGTAACTAATAATATACTCCAAACACCGTTCCATCATAATACCAACCATTGTGTTTTTGCGAACACCAATACTTTTTAACTTCGCAGCCAATACATCAGTCATTTCATCTAATTCCTTGTATGTGACCTTAAATTAAAATAACTAGTTATTATAATTTTATATCTATATTATTTAGAATACTAACCATAGTTTCATCAATATTAATTACAGCCACTGCATTTGGTGTGGCTTTTGCTTGAATTTTAAACATCTCATGGAGACATCCCTGCTTGTCATAATCAGACATATTTACAAAAGGAATTTTCGACATTTTTACAAAAAAAATTGTACTGTGACGAATTATAATGCGTTTTTAACAGAATGTTTTAATTCATAAAGTTTAATAAACACAAAAATCTAACATTCAAGTATTTATATATGCTAGCGCGACATATTAATGATTGTATTGAACGAATACTATTGTTTAGTTTTTATCTACAACCAATTATTATAGAAATACTAGTACACCGATGTGAGACAAAAGTGGCGTGGTGGCGTGATCGGAATCAAAATGTCGTTGGTTTCTTTGAAATGAAACTCTATAATTTATACATCCTAATTTATTTTAAATAAATAATAACTATATGATGAATTATTTAAAAAGTAATCTAATATTATACTTAATGTTAAGTAGATTAATGTGTTTCATTGATCATATTTTTAGCTTTATATATCCAATTTGAAATTAAATATAACTGTATTTAATTAAACTATAATAGAGTGTATTACAATATACGAGTCTATACATTAATATACATTTTTAATATCTAAATTAATATAGAAAATTAATATAAAATATATTTCAAATTACGGAATAAAATTAAAATTTTACATAATTCATAAATAAGTTTGAGTTATAAATATAATATTAACAAAAAAAGGTGAGATTCCTTAGTAGGAGAGACTCCACGGTCGGTGTTTAATACAAGGATTGGTAAATAGTCTGCTGTATTAATATTATAATCTATGCACCAATGGGATTGAAAAAACGATTCTGAGTGAAAAATATCAGTTTATATTTCTAAAGATTTGATATGTGTAGTAGAAGAACAAAATTTTTTAATAAGGTAGGTTGAAGTTTTAATATTCTAAAAAAAGGTTTTTAACCTGTAGATAAATAGAAAATACTAATAAACAGCACATAATTTATTAAAATAATTTAAAACTATAAAATGACTAAATAATCTTTATATGAAATTTTTTTTACTTTAAAAATGTATTGAATTTTTCGTCATTTTTATAGTTTAGTAAAAATGTAATATTTAAATACTAGTAATTTTTATGGTTTTTTTCTAAGTAAAACAATTTTTTTTACAAAACTTCGATTTTTTGGAAAACTAGTATACTGTATAAGTTTACAGTATTTTTATAATTTTTTATTAGTTTTTCGTAATTATTAAGAAAACCGTTGGGAAATTCGTAAAAGGACTCCCTCAAAGTACATACTAGATATTTTTTATTAAATATTTCTTATGATATTAATGAACGAATAATGAGTACGCGTAAACACCAAAAACCCATAGTATTATAAAACCCATACATTCCTAGTTTCACTCAAAATCTAAAACATTGTAGTCCAACAAATAATTTATTAATAACATTTTAGACCATAGATAACCATAATTTTAAAATATTATATATTATAAACACAATATAATTTATAAATATTTTTAAAACTAGTAACTAGTTGAAAATTTTATTAAACTGTACAAAGTAGAATTAATGCAGATTTTTGAAAAAAAAAATGATATATGTATAAAGGGACGGCGCGTGAGGGAGGGCAATAGGGGCAGTTGCCCAAGGCTCCGTGCCTTAAATTATAATTAAGGCCCTGATTTTAACTGAACTTAAAATATTTTATTAATATAAATTATAAGACCCAACATATATTTACCCTGGGCCTCGCAAACTTTATCATCGTTACTGTATGTATATTATGTTATAACATATTTAATCAAATATTATAAGTTTAAACTGACAGTTATTTATTACAATTTTCTATATTTGTAATCATTTTTATTCTTAGATATTATTTTATTAAACTTTAAGTGTGTTTATGTTTAAGTTTTTTTGTGTTATTCATGCTTTTGTTCGCTTTACCTAGTATTTTATAGGATAAGCGCATTTCAACTCTCTTGCGATAAGAATACTTTAAACTTATTTAAATTCGTCTTTTTTGTTGTAAGCTTTTCCAGTTTTCCGATAAATTTTACAAAAAATGAAATTTGATCAATTTTTAATTATTATAATTATTTTGATAGAATTTTGAGGGTAAAATTATAAATATGTAATCTCAAATCGATTTTGTTGAATATTCAAATACGTCTTCAAATAAAAAAAAATAATTTTTGATTGGCACATCGGAAATATATTAACGAATAGACTATAATGTTATATATATCATTAAATGTATTAATATACATGATTTTCTTGCATCTATAACAAAATTCACTTAAAAATTATTTAGAAATTCTGGTTTGACGTTGAACGGAAAAATCACAAACATATGCAAATAAAATCCTGTATACTCTTGTAATTTTAATTTTACATTCATATTTTGAAGTTGGGTAGTATTCCGATAATATTTAGTATTACTAGTCGTTGAATTTATAAGTTTTATGCAGATAACCAAAAAAAATCGCATGGCACAATAGAAATTAATAGGTTAGGAAAAACTATATTTACACATTAAGAATCCGGATAATTTGTAAAAACATCAAAGAGCTATGTTTTAAATCTAATTTTTTACTCATAACGCTGAAAATTATTACAGTATAATTTATTTATTTTTAAATTAATATTATAAGATAAATAAAATATCTAAAATAAATACATAATTAATTAAACTAATCTAACTCCTATACTATTTATAGAAATCACATAACAATGTATTTCCATGGGTTGATAATAATAAAGTATATAATGAATTCAAACGGTGTTGATAAAAATTCGAAAAAAGTGCAATTCGTAAACATGTTACATTTAGATTAATTAACTAAATTATACTGGGGTATTAATACATGCTGCTAATACATGAATAAATAAATGTAAACATTTTAAATAACAATATTACACAACACTCTCTCTATATATATACATTATTATTATTATTTTATTATTATATAAATATATAATAATTATTATTAAATATTAAATTATACAAATATTAATTATTATTAATTATATATTATATTATATAAAATATATGCAGCATTATAAATATTGCAGCATGTGGTTATATTTATATTATTCCACTTATGCGTGTGGCGTGTTTTTATCTAATCAGTAGAAGCAGTAACAATTATTATACTTAAGATGCAAGTCAACGTGTTATTTAAATGGTTATAATTGGTTATTATTCATTAGTGTTATTAGTTTTATTACTAGGTACCTATTATTTTTATAATTCTAGACGCATAAAAATACTGTTTGGTTAATGACAATTAGTTAACAAATTAATCTTTCGTTCGTGATTCCTTTATTATAGACACCATGTTATTTATCTGGTATTTTAAAATACCTAATATACTAAAGTACTGCAGTTCCATATATACAACAGTTATTTTAGAGCATTACGAAATATTATTTTGAATATTTTCAAGTCTAGACTAGTATAATAGAATAAATTAAATAACATATGATTTTAAGTATGGTAAAGATGTATAATTTAATTATTAAAGTCTAACTTGAAAAACGTTTTAAAAAAATGTATAAAATAATATGTAAAAAATGTTTAATATACATTTTATGATCATCAATTATTATGTCTCCTCAGATGTCGACAGTCGAACTTAGCTGTTTAAACTTAATTACTTTAAAAATAAATTTTACATTGTGTATTATATATGTATTTATAAGCATATGTATAACTAATTAGTAATTTTATGGATACATGGAAGTTACATGGAGTGCTCAAAATTAAAAAAGTGTCATAGTCCCTCCAAGCCTTTTTTGTCACTTATAATCCACGAAATATCCTTCGTAAGGATATATTTATTAAATATTTATTTCCTATGTTTACACTGTGATAACTTTGATAAGTGTTTTGGTAATATATAACATCGGTAATTTCAATCAATTTCTTTAAAAGCGGATTAATAAAAAAATACAGCCTGTCTATTATTTTTATCATATACTTACATTTTTATTTATACTATTTAATTTATAATTGGCTAAAAATGTAGTTTTTTAATTTTATGATTTGTTAGTAACCTTAATAGTTACTTCTTACTTTTATTTAGTTAAATATGTTGTAAATAAGTTTTATTATCACACTCGTATATTATTGCGATGCAGTGGTACAATCAGGATTTAATAAATGGGGGGGGGGTCGAAATAATTATAGGTCCTAAAAGTCCCTAGGACAATTTTGGACATATGTACCTGCTACTTCTCACCACTTGAAGTACTACCTTAAGCCGGGTTTACACTACACCGTGACGTGTATTTAACCAGACCGTGTGCTTTGAAAATGTGCGAAATATCTTATATTGATGCTATCAAATTTTGGTTACATATTTTCGCAGTTTTTTCATTAGATATGAAATACTTTCATAAGTTTCAATAAATAATAACTGATGAACATTAAATTATGTAGTAGACAGTATGTATTATATTATTATTAAGGCTCGGAACTGACGCGGTCCCGCTGTGGTGCAGGTACATTAAGTACACCACTATCGCGGAGCCGCACCCACTCTCTACCCAGCCGCAACCAAGGCAACGACAACACCGTTTCCGATACTACCCACCTATCTCGGAAAACTGTGCAGAGGAGGTGGGAAAAGTAATCGGAACGGGTGGCAACGTACCGACCGGTCGCCTCAAGTCACCAACTTTGTTCTCGCGACCGTGATACAGGATCGATCATCCGCAATTTTTCCTTCTGTTACCACCGTCACCAGACTACATATTTTATATAGACCTTTCTTTGTTATTTTGTTGCGCAATATATATATATATCGAATTGGTTCACCATATTGTGTTTATTCGGGTTTTTTTTTAAATTCACCACAACACCACCACTCAATCATGACCGGCCACCTCACCGAGGAGAACAATTCGAAGAAACCTGAGGCCGTGTCAGAACTTAATGCACTTAAAAAGTACTAAATATGCATGCACTTAAGCGCTTAAAAAAGTACAAATATCCTTCAAAAATATGCACTTAATTTTTTTTAACGCAAAAATGTTCATAAATAAAGATATTTTATTAAACATACTCGTACATAACAGTACAAATGTTGTTAGTATATTATACTAAGCTAAACATAATTTCTAGTTGTAAATATATAAGATAAAATAAAATATAAGTAAAATAAATAGCTTGAAATTTGAAATTTTCTTTCAAAATGTTCCCATTAGGTTTTTCATAGTGTCATGAAAATAATTTCAAGGTTACTTAGCAATAAATTGAATAGCCCAATAAAATCTTGCGAATGCCACACCATCCGATCCCTTTGTTGTTATAAATAATGTTATCATAAAATATTAAATTATTACTATTAAAATCGGTAACTACACGTTCAAAATTTGAATAAAATCAGCTTCCCGTTATCTTATGGTTAGTGAGGTAACTTGTGATTTATTATATGGCATACCTTGATGCAAGGCCGTAACTGCGGGGGTCCAGGGGTTCGTACCCCCCCCCCCTCCGAAATTTTCAAAAGTAGAAACATTTTAGCGGTGAATATAGTTTATTAACTATAAATTGTATTAAATAATAATGTTAGACCCCAGCCCGAAATTTTTTTCCAGTAACCTTGATGTAAAAATATGGATATTGTTCATACTTAGTACAGAGATTAAAGCCATAAAATCAGGCCCTAAACTGGGTCCATTTTCCCTATCGGGAAACTGGATATAATTAGGACCCACATACTAATATAAATGGGTCACATTTATACATACGATCTAACGACGTGCCTATAACAATAGCCAGGTTGTTTACCCATTTCTTACACTAAGACAAAACTATAAAATAACCATGAACCTAAATAATAAACCAAATATACATTTTGATTTAAGTTCTATAAAAATAAATAAATACACAACAATTTTAAAATAATTATTTTTATTAAAGTGATCTTGAATAAATTTTAAATTAAAAATGAAATAATTAAAAATAAATGGTAAAACTTTGTATATGTTATAAAATATGAATAGTATGTTCTTAATAATAGTTCAATACAAGTAAAATAATATACAAATAGTTCAAAAAAATATTTAAAAAACTAAACCTTCAACATTCTTAACATTTCTGTACTTTGTTCGCATATTAAGTCAATAACTTGAGCTAGTCTAATGCTGGCCAACAATTCCCTTTCATAGTTCATAAAAAACAATGATTCTAAATTATCTTGTGTTAAACAACTTCTAAAACGTGTTATCATAATTTTAAGTTTAGAAAACGATCGTTCACACATTACTTGAGTAAGAGGAATTGTTAAAAGAAACTTGTAAACTTCAAATAATTCATTATATTTTAACACTCCAAAACAGGGGTAGTGAACCTATGGAACGGGTGCCAATGATGGCACGTAGAAACAAATTTTAATAGCACACGCAAAAAATTGATATTATTAAAAATTGTTGACAAAAAAAAATATATATACTATTTATAAAATGTTGTTTATAAGAAATTCAAAGAAACAAATTATACATTTTTTTAAATTATTTTTATTATATTATATTAAACCCTTTAGAAAAATAACATAGTAATTGTGTTTACGTTTTCAACTTAAGATTATTAACAATAACATTTACATTTAGGCATTCACTTTTGAGTGCTCCTAAGCACCATAGCACGAGTCGCTACTGTGTAAAAAATACAATTATTAGGTAGGTACCTATAAGTTGTATAAGATCTATAAGATCTATAAATCATACGAGTACTAGAAAAACGAATAATCATAATGTTCCAAGTTTTCAAGACAAGCTGATACCAATTCATTTTTTCAAAATAAATAAAAATATAAAAATGCAGGCGGACATTTATCAATGAAATATTTAAGACTAAAAAAAACTAGTTGTTTTTGAATTCCGAGTGACTTTCTAGAATGGAAGAAATCGCTGTCAGTGTTTACAGAGCTATGCCGTTAATATTTGGCACCCAGGGCAAAATTAAAAATATACGCCCCCTATTTTATTTTTTATTAATCATAATGCATTACATTCCTGTTTAATTTAATTTTTTTTTTTTACAACGTATTTTAAACATTGATTTGACAAAAAACTAAAGCTGATTGTACCTAATTGTAATTATTATACAAAATAGTTAGGTATTACTAAGTTACGTTGACTAATTATTATAACTCGAACATAGACGGAAATTTGTTCAGAAAAAATTTGTAAAACGAAATAATCTTTCTCATATATTTTATTTATGTAAAAGTTTAAAATATTTTTAAAAAAAAGTTTTTGGCACCCCTTTTAACCATGCTCTCGAGGCGTATGCCCCCTAGGCCCCCCACGGCACGACTCTGAGCGTTTATAAAACAACTGTTATTCATACCTTTTATTAGAACAAGCCCAACTGAAAAAACATTTACCAAAACTCATATGTTGCCGATAATATCCTTTAAAACAGAAATGGCCAACCCGTGGCCCAGATTGTAAAGTTTGCGGCCCACGAGATATATCAAATATTTACAAAAAAAAAAATTCTTGTTCCAATAAAATATTTTGGAATGCACAATGTTGAATCCATAGGCGCAATTAAGGCCCAAATATTGGGGGTGCTGAAATTACGTAGCTCACACTAACCCTCACCCCCCCCCAAGTATCATATCTCAATTTAATCACTAAATGTACCATAACAACAAACATACACTAATATCTTAATTTATAAATATTAACAAACCTAACCTATATTATTTTATTTAGGTCGTACAGTACTAAGAAATATATAAATTAAAAAAATATTATACAATATATAACATATAATATTCACACTAGTATTATCTTGCGATGACTAGTGGAATATTTTTCAAGTATTTCAGACGATTTAAATAACTAATAGTTTTATATTTGAAGTTAATAAAAATAAAAAATTAACTAATAGTCATAAACAATAATTTTTGTTAAACGCATCAAATAAAAATAACTACATAAAATAAGAAAAATACTATTTTTATATAATTTTTCAATTATTAATTTTTTAACTGGGGGGTGCTAAATTATAGCCTAGGGGTGCTGTAGCACCTCCAAGCACTAAGTGCGCCTAGTTGCATAGACCCTCTAGTTGCGCCTATGGTCGAATCCGCATCATTAACAACGTAATCTCAACAAACTGATTCATCAATAAAATCTTTGTTCCAAAGTATTGTTGATGAACCATATTATGCAAGTAGTCATAAAAACAATGAATTCAAGTACATTCGATCACATGCGTTTCTGCACCAAGAATTTAAAGAGTTCTTGAAAAAATTGGATCCAAAATAAGGTGATAAAAACAATAATAATTCATTCTGCTTATTTCAAATAATTAATACACTAAAACTTTTTTCATAATAATAATTAATCCTGTTAAAAATGTTTACTCCAAATTTTTTTGTATTGGAACAAAATACTAATATAATTTTATATGTGGCCTGCGGGATCGTAATGTATTTCCTAAGTGGCCTGCAAGATCAGGGGTGGATTTTATCACTCACTAAGGAAGGGGCTAATGGAGGTTTAAGAATTTAGTTAGTTGTCTTTAAATCTATATACAATTTTAAATTACAAAATATATTTTTGAGTCCCTCATAAGTAAGTCATTTTTTTCACAATAGTGATAAATTTGAAATATTTATATAATTTGTATCAATTTTAATCTAAAACCATTTTCAAAATATAGATATACACATGTGATTAACAACAAAAATGAGCTATTTATTTATAAAATAGATACCATATTCATCAATGGCGATTGACGATATTTTATAATAATTATTAATATAGCAATATTTCATAACACCTGGCTTTGTAAAGTAGTTAGCATAATCCAGAGGGGGGAAATACCCCCATAGCCACCCCTTAAATCCGCCACTGCGTAAAATTATTTGGGTTGGTCACCACTGCTTTAAAAAACAAAAAAAGCTAAGCTTGTGAAGGACTGGACCGCTCTCTGGTGTTCAGTTCAACTGTAGTAATGTTGCACTTGTAATCAAGTATTCAGGTATTGTCCAGACTTATCAGTTCACCGAGCCGTTAAGATTTATAAGATACCGACTTATAGTATATATACTTTGTATAATTTATAATTAAAATTTTTATGTACAACGTTTACCAATAGAATTTTGACTATAAAGTACATTATTTTTATTCAGTTTGTTTATTTTTCTACTACTAGCCTTACGTTTTATCTTGTCTATTATTTTGAATTATTAATTTTAACTAGATATTGTTAGCTTTATGCATTATTTCCTTGAAGCATGTCAATTTTTTTTTAATTAAGGCATCATTATATAAGGCATATTACATTCAATTTGTTTCAATATGAGTTTGTTATTTGATCAAATAAAATTGTTACATAGTCAAAAATTACACTCCAATGTTGCTAAAGTGGTAAGTGTCTATTTATTTTATTTTTGTGTGTTACCATTTTAACATTTACTTCTTCTTCACAGGCTGAAATGGTTTTAAAAGTCAGTGAACATACAACAGATATTTTAACTGCTCCTCATAAATATCGAATTTATGCATACCTTGGTGACTCACATTATTTCTTAAGTAATTATCGGCAAGCAGAAGCTGCGTATAAATTAGCATTAACCTTCAAAGATGCTTGTTCCACATCGAAAACACAACTTAAACAATATGACGGCATAAAAGATTCAATGCCTGATATAGGTTGATAAATGAAAATTATTTTAATATGTACTTGAAATACATTTGTAAAATAGTATTTTTAAGTATAACATATTGTGATTATTGTGGAAAACTAAACAACTATTAAGCATAATTTATTATTTTTCAGATATTAAATATCAATTACATTTATGTTTGGTCAAACTAAAAGATAATAAACAGGCATTAGCTGTTTTGCAATCCATACCATCTAAACAAAGGAAAACTAAAATTAATATGGCCCTTGCAAAATTATATCATCAGATGGGCAATACTATTCAAGCTATTTCTGCTTATAATAAAGTTTTAAAAGTAAATCGTTTTTAATGATTTTTCTTTAATAAATTGTTATTTGATTCGTCATACCTAACTATTATTTCCAATATCAAAAATATTTTTTTTTAAATTTAAATTTTTTTTACATGTTTAGAAATTATAATGTAGTGATAATGTTTTTATATTATTAAAAAATAAACTCCATTTAAAATTCTTTAATATTTTGTAATATTTAAGGAATTATTTAAATTTTAATAGCATAAATTATTTTAATTCTTAACTAATGTATTTTGATTTATTTGAGTATTCAAAATTATAATAAATTCTTTTACATTTACAGTTAATTGTTAATAATAAAAGTACCTATAAAATGTAATTTCTAATTGACAAAAAAAGTTTGAATTGTTTATAAAAAGTCTTTGTTGTTTAATTAATTACATATTGAATTTAATTTTAAGGACTGTCCATTGGCAATTGAAGCAGCTGAAGGACTTTTGAGTTTAGGTGTGAAAGGAACAGAAGTGAATGCTATTATGTTAGAAATGGTTGGAATTAGTGGACTTGAATGGTCAGTATTTATTTAAACATATATTACTTTATTACTTTTAATTAATTTTTTTATTTAGGCTTGGTGGTTGGATAAAAGCTCATGCCCATCTATTTAATCATAAAGAATATCCCTTAGCTATAGCTGCATTTAAACAATTAGATGATAATTCACCATTATGCAATAGTAATAGATTACTAGTTGCTATGGGAAAAGCATATTATTTTAATGGAGATCGTAAAAATGCTCTTAATTATTTACAAAGGGTGAGTTACTAACAATTAATTTTCTCAATTTTTGAAATATATTTTAGTAAATTATATCTTAGGCCTACAAGTTGAATCCACTTATGCAGGATGGTTTATGTACACTTGCTATGTGTTTTTATATGGAGAAACATAATAAAGATTTGGAAAAATTACTCCCAACAAATTATACAGATGAATTATCAATTGAACCTCATATGTGGATTATTTTTGCTTTTGTTTGTTATAGTAATAGTAATTATTCAAAAGCTTTGTGTTTAGCTCAAAGGGTATTTATACTGTTTAAATTTATAAATATATACATGTCTAGTAAAATTTAATTTTTAAGGTTTATGATTTTTAACTGCTAATATCAGTCTTATACTTTGCTTAACATAAAACTATTGCACATATTATTATTATTATATTTTATAGTTTTTTTTGTTAATTGAATAATATTTTGTTCTTAAAATCTGTCTCAAGCTATATTTTGATTTATAATTCATAAGTAGTTAAGAATTGGTACTTAGAAGTATATAATTTATATATTTTTAATGATTCTATTAAAACATATTTTAAAGGCTTGTTCCATTGACCAAAAAAATATTGAAGCATTACTGTTACATGGTATGATATTAACAAGTATGAAAAAATATTCTGATGCCATTTTGCAATTTCGAAAAGCTAATGATGTAAGAAATTTAATTTTAATGTCATATTATTTTTTTATGCTTAGTAATATTTTATTTTATTTGATAGTTAGCGCCTTATCTTTTTGACCCTCATAAAGGTATGGTAGATTGTTATATAGCATTGCATAAAATGAGGACTGCAATTACTTCTGCTAGTAATTGTTGCAAACAAATGAATAATCATCCAAAATCATTAACAGTAAGTAATAATTGAATTAAATTATTTATATTTTATAATATTAATTATGTATCGATAAATTTATTCTTAAATGTACGGGTATGCTTAACACATTTTAATTTATTTAACCAAAATATACCTAATAATATATTTTTACCAGTATACCACTCTGGTAGAAGGTGCTTCAAGCCGCCTCTAGTCTTATTAAAGAATTTTACGCAAACCATATAGAAAAGATTTAAAACATGTGTAATAATTTTAAATATTTAAAGATATCTAACACCTTGATTATTTAAAAAAAAAAAAAAAAATAATTTTATGAAATGCTTCACTTTTACCTTATGTTATTCATGATATTTATTTGAACATTTTTGATTAGTTTATAAATTGACAGATTTATTTAAATATTTTAGAGTGTTTTAATTGTAAGAATTGTTATTATTACAGTAACTTTTTTAATACCCATTTCATTAGTGTATAACTTTAAGGATAAACTTATTTTAAATTTTTTGAGGCTAATTTTTACAGTTTAAACATGCATCAAGCATAAAATTGGTTTTAAAAGTATCCAAATTATTGATCATACTTTTTTTGACACACTTCTCAATTTTCAAGTGAATAAAATAAAAATAATAATTTTGAAACATAGCAGTTGACTATTTGTATTCGTTCACCGACCATTCATGTATTTCGCAGGAAATATTTTATGGTTAAGTCAGTAATTGTTTCAATTCATCATAATTAACATGTTATGCTATAAATATATAGTATATTTATCAGAATAATTAAGTTTTTTAATAAATAAATCTTAATAGGAAACCAAACTTATTTACATATGTTAAATGCATATTTGTTTTTAGTTATATGCTTCAATACTTATTAAAGATCCAATGACTGTTGGTAAAGCAAAATTATTGTTGGAAAGAGCATTAAATGTTGATGAATACTATCTTCCTGCAGTTTATATGTTAGCTCAAATATTTGAACAAGAAGGTAATTTCAGTTCTGCTGTTACACTGTTACATAAACAAGCATTAGATCAACCAACATGTAGATTATATCAAATGTTAGGCGATTTAAGTGTCAAACAAAATCAATTGGAAAAATCATTTGACTACTATTATTCTGCACTAAAGTAAGTATTTGATTTTAAATATACACTTGTAAAATACTTGTAATGAAATTCTTGATGTAAAATCTTGAGTACAATTGAACTATAAAAATATATTTAAATATTTATGGATGATTTATCAACAAAATCTGTAGTCTTTAATCACTATTGAGTTTCATTTAATATGAACTTGAAATTAAATTTTAGATTTTAATATTTATTAAACTTTAAATCTTAAAGTTATTACAACATACACTACTCATATATTTTCATGTTTTTCCAATTATAATAAAATATTTCCTTGATAAAATATAATTTTTAAAGTTCAATATCATACTTTTTTTTATAAACTTTGAGAGAGAGTTAAAGATTTTTAGGATTTAAAACCAGTTTTTATTGTTTTAATTAAATGCTTATTAAAAAAAATATTTATTAGTGTCAATAATAATAATTAATAATGATAATAATTATGTGAATCAGATTACTTCAATAGATAACAATAAAAGTAACAAAATGTACTTACATATTATATTGTACTCAAAAAACAATTATTTATTTTTAGCCTTGACCCGAATAATAAACGAGTAATGGAGAGTTTAGAGAGTTTGGGTAAACCATGTAATACTTCAACAGTAACATCTACAGATTCAACAGGACCTCTTTTAAATGGATCTCTTTTAGATGCAACATTTAGTGGTGTAAATAATGCTGAAAATGAATCAACTCCATTCAATACAGTACACGAAGAAGACACATTTATGGATTCTGATCATGAAGGATCTGGATCAGACATATCTATATAACTTTTTTTACATTTTTTTTTAACAAACACAATAAATATACATTTTATAATTCTTAATTTTTTGTTTTAATTGTCTGCTTTGTGATTATGGCATGAATAGTGAACAATCTCGCCATTTGGGCATCTTACAAAGGCACTAAAAAATTAATAATAATATATATTATTGTTTTTTGTTATTTGTAGAAATTACCTTTGATTTCCAAAACGTTTTTTACATGCTCCACATATATTGAATTCTGTTAAAGTAATATTTTGTGACTCATAAAATATCCTTTGTTGTTGAATCTAAGATATTAGTAAATAACAATTATGATTAATTTAACTACATCAAATAATAGTAATATTTCTTACTTTTAAAAGTTTTGCATATAGTAGTCCACGGTTTACTTGATAAAGTCTTCTATCGCTAATAGCTTTATCTAAAGAGATAACTAAAAAATTGCTTATACGATGCACTGGTATTTCATCAGGTAACACTTTTAATACACTTTGAGTTGCAATTTGAGCAGCATTTTTATTTAAAATTTCTATGACTTTCTCTAAATTAGGAGCTGGTTTTGAAACACTACCCAATCCAGCTAACCAACTGTCCGGAGGGTCAATAAGCAATCTCAATAATGTTACATATATCTACAATTCATGTATAAATGTAAAAAATAAAATTCTTTTATGTATTACTATTTTTACTTGATCAGAGTCTTCATTTTTGGATTTATTAACTTTATCACAGTACTCAATTGCTCTGTCTACATTGTGCAGTACAGTAACATACATCGATAAAACTTGTTCATGACGACCAAGTTTACCCAACACTATAGCACGTTCCTCAAAAAATCCTAAAAAGTTCTACAATAAAAATATTATAAAAATGTGAAATGGGATAATATATTACCATCTAATGGAAAATGTACTAATACAGTTTCTGGAGTATAATACTTGGATAGTTCTAAAAATTCCAAAAGTTTTGTTTTTGTATTTTGTGCAGTTTGTTCATCAGCCAGCATTGATTTGCTGTTGTATTGTTGAAGTCTTTCTCTGTATTGATGTATTAAAGCATTATGACAAATTGCATTAGTATCATTCCAAACATGTATTACATGTTCCAAATAAGGTATAATCAAATTTTTGTGATTTCTAATCAAAAAATCTAATACTTTAGGTCTAGGTAAATTTTCTACTTCAGCAACATCTTCTGTAAATATAGTAAGTCCTTCTTCTGGATATTTATTTAATACCCAATCCGAAAATTGAAGAATGATATCAATATTATTTGAACCTATTTTTAAGTTAAAACCAAACTGTAAAAAATAATACAAAAACAATAATTAGTTATAATTAAATATTTACCAATATTTTGTAGGTATTGGATAGTTCTCTCAGGTCCTTTGAGATTAGAATCAGAATAATCAGATTGTTTTTGAAGGAGTTCTAATGCTTTACTGTGTAATCCTTTAGTTTGGTACAAAATTATTAGTTCACTATATTTTTTGTACTTTTTTAGGGTCATTTCAGTTTCTAATAAATGACAATGATTCAGTCTTAAAAGAGGAGCTATCAAAGCATCATTAGTCTAAATATACATTTATAGGTTAATTAACAGAATTATAATTTTATATTTTGTTTTAAAATATTAACTTGCTTGCAAATAACATTTTAGCAATGTAGTATCTATAATTTGAAGTAACTGTTCTTGATGATTACTATTGATTTCAAGAACACTTGATTGTTTTTTGATATTGGGTTCTTTTAAAAGATTGTAACGCACCTGTTGATTCATATAGTTAAATTAAATTTTTACTAAAATAAATTTGTTGAATATATTTATTGAATTAATTTTTTACTTCTGTTAAATATTCAATTAATGCAACAATTTTCATTTCCATATCTTTTTCAAGAATTTCTTCCCCATAATCTGAATCACTTTGAGGTAATAAATTGGGAAATAATCTTATAACATCATACGGGTCTGAAAAAATGAATAATCTGTAAAACTGTAGTGAAATGAAATATGTAAAATATATACCAGTATTTAACTTTAAAAATTCCCTCATTGATTCTTGATACTTCTTTTTTTCAAATAAATCATTAGCATATAATGTTCTAATTTGAGAAACATTTTTTTCTTTATCATCAACTGATTCATCAGATATATTCTATGCAATATTAGAAATTTTAATACATGTATACAATTATTTTTCGTTAAATAAATAACATTTGAAAATATATCATTAATACAAAATATAGGTCTGAGTATTTTACTAGGTTAATATATATACATAGACACAATCATCTTCAACAGATTTTACATAACTACATTATACTCAAGTTGGTTATAGTATGAACATGATTACTTACAGCCAATTTTAGAGCTAGTTGAAAATCTTTATCTTCGAGAAGTCTTTTGATTTGTCTAGTAAAAGGAACAGCTTTTAAACACCAGACATCTAGTGTAGATGAAACATAAATTAAACCATTTTGACAAGTAAACATATTCATAGTTTTGGATGTGGTTGATATTATTTGACGCGCAACTGAATTTTCTCCAGACTCAATAGTTTGTACATATAATTTATCACCTATACTAGCTATTAAGTAAGGTTCATCATATACTGAAATAAAATTTGATTAAACATTTAAGTATTCTGACATTTAAGTTAACAACTTACAAATAATAGATGGTGTATCCACCCATTTAATAGTTTGCTGTTCGGCTATATCACCTGATGTACTCATAACAATAAGATGAGAATCTTTAACAATACCAAACATAGTGTCAGATATTTTGGTTATAATAGGTTCTTGATTTTTTCCAGTTAAAAACAAAGGTTTCACTTGTTCCATGGTGACCTAATATAAATTAATTGTTGGTAATAATTCAGGAAAATAAGTTCTTTAATTTAAATACTAATTATGTTCAACTCTTATTTGAATATAAATTACAAATAAAACTGGATATTCTTATAAAAATAAAAACTAATTTTATAATATGATTGTCAATTTAGTCATAAAAACATAAATAATATCTTATATTGATTTGAACACTTTTTAAATATATCCCATATTAAAATGTCTCATATTAAATGGTATTAATGATTTTTTAAAACAACATAAAAATGTACATAAAAAAATAAGCATGTGATTATTTTAATTATTAAAACATAAATTACTGTTATAATAGTTTATCATAATTCATAGGTATAACTATAATAATTATGATTTGATTTATTAATTTAAATTGAGTTTGTTGCTCAATTTACTTTTTAATAAATTATTAATAAACTAGAATAATAACTAAGGAAATTAGTTTTTAAGCTAACAATATAAGTTATTAAGTACAAAACATTGAATACACCACCGGATTTTGGTATATACACAAAATTGTACATAACATTTTACACAAAAAAAAAAAAAATTAAATTGGGATGGATTTTAAATATATATTTTATTAAGATCATAGATAATAATAATTTAATTATTTATGTTATTTGTAATTTTAGTTAACATAATATTATTTATTACTTAATAATTTAGATTAGGTTAATGATACTATGAAATTTTTTTTACTACAAAAAAAAAAAAAAAAAATTGAGAAAAAATGAGTTAAATTATATATTCTTATAAGAATATTTAAATAAATTGTAATAGTTTAATAGATTTTGACCAGAAAATCATCACAAAACTATCATAAAACTAAGTAAAAATCAATCAAACAATAAAAAGTAAAAGATATTTTTATACATTTTGATTTTTTTTATACAAAATATAAGTATTAATTTTCTTCAAATATTTGTATTAATTTAAAATTATAGTGAACTTTTAACAGATAAAAAAAGTACAATAGTCTTATTTGCCTACAATTATAAAATACTATGAATTTATTCTTATCTATTTCTGGCTATATATTGTCATTTTCCTAATCCAATATTTCTTCTACGTAATATTTATTTTTATTTTTTTTATTGAAATATTTCAACATATTAATTTTAAAATTTATAAAAAAAATTATATTATTTACAAAAGATAATACATTGAAAACTTTGAAATAAGAGCATTAGATTTTTGTCTTAAATTCATTATGATTAGATTTAAATTTGCAGCTTATCTAATTATTTTATATATTTTTAAGTAGGATTTTAAATATTTTTTAATCCATAAATTTTATAGAATATATGTTAACTCACATCAAACAAATAATATTCATTTTTACAGCCAATTATTACTGTTTGATCGCACCACACTAATGTACGAGGTATATCAGGCAAATCGATATTTTCAGAATGCTCCAAAAAATCCCTCCCTTTCCAATGATAAACTTGCAATTGTCTCTTAACGGCAACACACAGGCGGACTACAGTATTATTGGATTTATCTGTTAATCCTAATGGCGTCTAAAAATAATTTTGTTGTATTTTCAAAATTGGTCATACCTCTGTATATTTATAAGTATCAACTAACCTTTACATCAATAGTAAATGAACTAGCACCTTTAGTTTTCAGCAAGCCATTTGTTTTCATATGAATTACTTTATCTCGAGACACATCGAGTACACTAATTCTTTCATCTAAAATATTCAAAAAAACCTATTAGATCATGATTTTAAAAAGTTATGTTTTCAAAAATCAAATACCTGACAAACATATAATTATTTGGCATTCTGATATAGCTGCTAATTGTAAAATGGGTCTTTTGCTGAATGTTTTATTACAGTCAACTAATTGTACTCTAGGACTGGTAGTATATAAAAATATATGTCCTTGACGATTGCCGACCAACAAATAATTATCTAAGAAATATAATAAATTTTAATTTTACACATACAAAATTATATTAAAATTAAAGTTAAAAATATTTATGTTGGACAGTTTAAATCAATTCCCAAATTATTTTAATAATTGAGCCTCTTAAAACCTTTGAAACAATAGGAACTCTACATTATAGAATACTAAGATATTATTAGTTTTATATTTTATAATTTATATTAGGCATGTCAAATATGTGATCTAAGGCAAATTTTTTTGTGGCTCGTAACTTGGAAAACTATTAGAATGTTATAGGACAGTATATTAAGAAACTTAGAGATGAAAAGTAAAAAATAGTTTCATTCAATTTTAAATCTGATGTTATGAGTTTTGAAACAAAATCTTACAAATTCCTAATACAATCCATTATACTAATAATACTTATTAAAGGTAAGCAAAAACTAAGTAATTAATATTAATCGTTTAATCTGTGATGATTAAGAACATTAAGTCCATTCATGATGGAATTTATTGTTACCATAAGCAGTGATACTTTCAATTTGAACGGAATACTTCAATAGCTTAGAAACTTCATATACGTCGTGCATTTTGAAATATAATTCATTCACAACTCATAAATCACAACAAATGAGTAGTAATCTATGGTTCTCCCTCAATGAAAAATTACCATACAGGTCGCATACTTGAATTGATTAAAAATATTATCTAGTTCAGGAAAACGTATAGCTATGAATTGTACGGTGTGATGTGTTTGCAGAAAAACAGAAATACTCAGTTACTATTAAACAATAATATGAAAATATTTAAAGTAATAAAAATATTATTATTTTACTCGCTATCAGCAACCGTCCTAGAACCGTGATAATTTTGTGATAATGAAGGAGTGGCAGGGTTAGTGATTATTGCGCCTCGTGGAAGAGACGATAATTTCAACGTAGTCTTCCAGGAACGACTCAATGGGTTCGCGGCTTTTTTTACTAGATCATTTTTAACTTAATATGTTTACAGTTGCGGTACTCCGTAAAGTACGTGTTTACCCACGAATGTTTTACTAATTGTGCTTTAAACGAGCATATTATGATTTTCGACGATTAATGTTCTCTTCATTCGGTAGACTGAACATTATTCCATTATTCCCATTTAAACAAAATCGTCGTCAAATGAACGTTTAAATAAGAAAGAAGACAAATATTGATGAGCTTTCTCTTGTATCTACGATAACGTACGCGGACGTACTGCGTCAACGCCAAGAATAATTTGCACGTTCATCGACTACATTTTATATTGCAGTGTTGCGGTAAAACAGATAAGACATGCCGTTTTGTCGAGAGATAAAACGACGGTGGGCGTAGTCGGGTGACATCATCGACGATAACATCGCTAAACTGTGACATTCTTGTGCGTTTCGTATAGAAAAAAATAATATAAATTTAATGTAGCAACAGATCAGCCGTTATAAATAAAAATAATTCGATTCAAGCGATTATTAGACGGGGAAACTGTTGTACTTGCTGTTGTAATAACGGTCGTTCGTTTGTTCCATACAAACGGGCGTGAATAATACTTGTTAAACGAAAAATTCAGCAGGTAATTAATAGTATAAAACCGTAATCGATATTGAATAAGAAGAAATTTATTACGGACGGACGTGTGCATGTATGCAATTTCTATTTAATAATTTTTATTTATTATTTTTTATTCATATAATTGGCTCCTATAGAGATTTAACGTTCATTGACTCCGCCGACGGGTGGTGGCAGCACTTGTACCAAGGTTGTTTTGGGCGGCGCCACTTCACCGCCCTGATCCATTCACCCCCCTACACTGCACTCGCAGTATCTCGCTACGAGGTTCCACCTCTCTTACAGTCTCGTATACTCGTATATTATCACCCAGCGGCCAGCAGGAGAGTTCCAATCTGCTTGCGCGACTTTGTGGGGATAGGCCAGAGCCGTGAAAATTTAACTCAATTTAAAAAAATACCAAGTCACTAAATATACTCGGCGCAATAGAGGCACTAGTGTTTTTGTGCATCAGTTTGTTAGTGCGCCGTATACATTTGGCTCAATAAGCGATCATAATATGTGAATATTAGGTAAGTTTTGTATACATTATATGGTAGCTAAACAATTTTTATTATTTAATTTTTTAAAATTATTCATTACTTATTGAATTAATATTTTCCCTTAACTTACAGTTAAATTTTGTATTGTGTTTCTATTTGTTTTGATTTTATTTCTCGATTAAACCATATCTCTTGTAACAGTGAGCCATGAGTTTTCGGAATCGGCTATCCCGTGCTGCCAAAAATAACAACGAATCACCATCTAGGAACAAAAACACCACGAGACACGATTGTTGTAATACTACTAAGTTGCGTGCAAGTAGTATTGAGCACGATCGAATAAATGGCAATCATGAAGCACATAGAAATGCAACTTCTGTAGATAGAGTGTTGGGTGTTAACAGAATTCCTAGGTAGTTTGGGTTTAATCCAAAACAGTGGAATCGAGTTATAACACGATCCCTAACAATTACAGATTAAACCAATTGACAGGAGAAACGAGTTGTGCAGCTAGCTGTAGAACTCCAAATAGGATTATTACAAAAAGTACTGTAAGCCGTTCTAGTCTGAGTTCCCCAAGTACTCCACAAAGAAAGGTTGATATTTTAAATACATTTATTTATTTTTATTACAATATTTAATCTTGATAGGTGTCAGCCCGAGGCCGAGGAGCTGCTATACCATCTCCTCGTTTCAGACGTGAAACAACTGTTCAAAAGAAAACTGTGGATAACAAATCAGATAAGGAATGCCAATCATCATCTGCAGATATGCCATCCAAACAATCTTATCTGTTTGCACAGAACTATTATGACACAGGGTCTTGCTCTGTAGAGATAATAGAAGAATCATGTTCTCCTCAAATTACATTACCAATACCAACAGAAATATTAAACACAAAATCGGCTATTCTCAATCGTTCAGACGATGACGAAGAAAAAGCTACTGGGATTTCTCCAGATGGAAGGTAATTATTTATTTTAATTAATTAGTAATAGTTATAATATTTACAAATTTTCAATTTCTACAAATGTTAGATTTCTCAAGTTTGATGAGGAGCTTGGTCATGGTTCTTTTAAAACAGTTTTTCGAGGTTTGGATACTCAAACCGGGGTTGCAGTTGCTTGGTGTGAGCTACAGGTAAAAAACTGAAAATTCTTTTCAAATTATTATTATTAAAAAACCATTTATTAATTTTATTTAAGGAAAATAAATTAACAAAAACAGAACGTGCTCGATTCCGTGAAGAAGCTGAAATGCTTAAAGGTCTACAGCACCCAAATATAGTTCGATTTTATGACTATTGGGAAGTTTCTTTGACAAAACGAAAATATATAGTTCTTGTTACTGAACTTATGACATCTGGAACATTGAAGACATATTTACGCCGTTTTAAAAAGATAAATCCTAAAGTATTAAAATCATGGTGTCGACAAATTGTTAAAGGTTTAAGTTTCTTGCACTCACGAACACCTCCAATTATACACAGAGATCTAAAATGTGATAATATTTTCATTACTGGTACAACTGGATGTGTAAAAATTGGTGATTTAGGATTGGCTACTCTTAAAAATCGATCCTTTGCTAAATCTGTAATTGGTAAAAACATGAAACATCATATGGTTTATTTAATAATGTTAATTATGGATCATGGTTTTAGGTACACCTGAGTTTATGGCTCCTGAAATGTATGAAGAACATTATGATGAGAGTGTTGATGTATATGCATTTGGAATGTGCATGCTAGAAATGGCTACTTCTGAGTATCCTTATACAGAATGCACAGGACCTGCTCAAATTTATAAAAAAGTGATTAGTGTAAGTTAATATTTTACAGTATATTTTGTGAAATAAAATAATTATTTAATCTTTTTTTATTTAGGGTGTTAAGCCTTTGAGTTTTGATAAAATTGAAAATCCAGAAATCAAAGATATAATAGATTCATGTATTAAATTGAAGAAGGATGAAAGGTAAGATGAATTTTTTTTTTCATTTATAAGTTATACTTATTTTATTTTTGAAAAATTATATTTTTGTAGACCATCAATCAAAGAACTATTAGCTCATGATTTTTTCACGGAAGATCCAGGTATTAAATTAGAAATGGTTAGTAGAACGGAGAGTCGAATTGAATTTCGTTTACGTGTTCTTGATCCAAAAAAGCGTTGTAGTAATATATATAAACACAGAGAAAATGAAGCAATTCAATTTGATTTTGATATCATCAATGATAATGCAGATGATGTAGCATCTGAAATGGTAAATACTAAACAATAATGTTTTTAATTCATTTTCAGTAATATTAATTTATTTTTAGGCTAAATCTAGTTTAATTTTGGAGGAAGATAGTAAAATTATTGCCAAGATGTTAACAAATCAAGTTTCTAATTTGAATAAAGAACAAAATGAAAAACGAGATATGCCAATTGATGAAGAATTATATAAGGGTACATATAACTAACTGTTTTATAATTGTGTTTTATAAGGGTATTTATAAGTTTATGATTGCACAATTTATTAAATGTATACATTCATTTTAAATTACGATTATTTTTTTTTTTTTAGATGACATAAATACAGATATCAATGGATTGCAATTTCGACAACCCGAAACCGTTGTTATGTATCAACCACCTAAATTTGTTAGTCAAGTATAAAATATATTTACTATTTAATTATAATTAATGTAATAAAAATAATAATATACAGAGATATAAATGAGTTTAAGTTATTTTGGTGTAAATTTTACAGGAAGAAGAAATCAAATTTGATAATGCTTCAATTGTGCCTGAAAATTTTCTTAAGCCTTCAAGTGAAATTAATGTAGCAGAACTTATTAATCAAGAACAATCATTATTACAGACTTCACCATCTAAAAGTTTACCTCTTCGGTCAGTTGATACAATTAGTCAGCTAGACAATAACAGAAAAATATCAAACATATCTAATGCATCTACAGACTCTGCTTACACATCTGATACCAATATTACTTATAAACAGCTTTCTGATATGAATCAAGTTACAAATATGGTAGAATCTGTACCAGAAAGTTATATACAGAATGGTAATGATAATATTTATCATCAAGACTTGACAATGTATCAACATGTTGAGCCATCAATTAACCAAGATACTGCTACATTTATTCCAAATACAATGACACAATGGAATTATCAGATTAATTCTGCCCAAAATCAACCGTCTACCACAACTGATGAAGAATTACAAAGAAAAATATCAACAGTATCTACTGTTTCAAATTTGTCTTCATTATCTTCAGATTCAGTTCAAGGACTTGTCCTACAAGATATTCAGCATCATGCTATTATACATGAAGAAAATGCATTACAAAATAATGTAAGTGTATTTGCACAAAATCAAGAAGGAATAAATGCAAATCAGTCTGAAAATGTAAACTATTGTAGTACACACTCACCATCCAATGAAACATATTTGCCACCAAATGTGTTAACTTATTCAGAAAACCAAGTATGTTCAAATTATAACAATCAAGCTATTGAAGAAATCAACTTAGTTGAAGAAAAATCTTCAGATAATTTTGAGCCATTAAGTAACCTTCTAGAGTCAGATAATAAACAAAATTTAAGGTAAATATATATTTAGCTAAACATTTTAAAAAATTACAGTAGATTCTTGGTAATTCTATTTTATTATATTTAACCTCTTCCAACATTAATTTTATTTTTGGTTCATAGTTGAAAAAATTTGAATAATCCAATAATATTGTTAAAATTTCAACAAAAACTTTAAACTTACTGATAATAATTATATTTACTCAATAAATTGGATTTACTTGAGTTAGTTCATATTTTTATGTCTATCTATACACATTTTCACTTTCATATGCATTTTGTAGTTCTTTATATATTGTTCTTAATTTTATATGTTAATAAGAGTTCAATAAAAATGTATATATTTTTGTTATTATTTAATTTCTATTTAAATATTTGGTTTATTTTTTTTAATAATCCAACAATGCTATGATCTCATATGTCTCAGATTATCAAGATTCTTCTGTATTTAAAATATCGGTATATATTAATTATGTCAATTTGTATTGATTTTAAAAATAAATTTATTACTAACAAATTATATTTAACATTAAACACTATTTAAAATTATGAATTGATTTACATTTCATTACTAAAACTAATTATGATTTATATTATTTTAAATTATAGGGCTGATCAACAAGAAGAGTCATCTGTCATAAAAGAAGTAGCTAGTAGAAAGAAAAGTAGAACTTCTGGTCCCTCATTAAATCTTCTTGCAGTTTATGAGAATCGTCAAGCTGAATGTCAATTAGAAAATAACAAACACAAAACTGTAACCTTCAGGTTTAATATTGATGATGTTATTCCTTATGATGTAGCTTACAAATTGGTAATTAGATTACATATTAAATGATAAAAATGAATGAACTAATTTGCTGATCAATTTTACTTTTAAGGTCTCTGAAGATTTGTTAGAAGTATCCCATGTGGATTTAGTGGCTGAAATGATGAAAGATTTAGTTAATAAACTAAAATTGGACACACAACCTTCACCTGGTTGTATTGATCCACCTTCGTTAAAACAAGAGGTACTGGTTATATATAACTATTCTTAGAATGTTATTCTAATTTTAATTTTGATGATTTTTAGACTGATGAAACTCCAATAATTATTGGAAACTCAGAAAATGTAGCTAATACAAATCAATCTAATGTTACTGTTACGGAAACCATAAAAGAAGCCGAAGAAAAGGTAGAGCCTGAGAAAAAAAAACCGGTATGTTTTTGCTCATAAGCTTATTCAAGCTTTTTAGATAAGAGTTTATTAATTATTTTAAAACTAATGGTATTAATTATTTATTCAGGCACGAAAAATATCAAGGTTCTTAGTGAGTCCAGTTATTTCAGATCAGGTTTTAGAAGAAGTTAGTTTTTTACTTCAATTTATTATTTATTTATATATTATGCATTAATTTTTCTTTTTTAATATTTTATCAGTGTAACATTGATAAGAACACTTTAAAGCAAAGTGGTGAACTGTCTAGTCCAGAATCACTTCAAAAAAGTATATTAAATGAAATGATTTCATTAGCAAATACTAATCATCAAAATATATCCGTTTGTCCTTCAACTAATAATGAAGGTGCAACATTCAATCCTGATACGATTACTGGTCCAATGACAGATTCTAAATCACATTCCCAAGCCCAAATTGATTCGTATGTATTTCAAAATTACCTTGCAAACAATAAATTTATATTAAGTTGAATTTATTATTTAGAGCATGTCAAAAAGGAGGTTCCTTAACTATATCTGAACTTCAACAAAAATTAATTCAATTAACAGCTCAACCATCAGAATTATCTAGTACTCCACCTATTAGTTCTCATCCTAGTACACCCCATGGATATACTGGTTATGAAACTTATATGAATAATCTTCAAAAACGTTTAGCTTCCATTTCAATGCCCACTGGAAACATTCTTGTATGTTTTTAATACAAATTATGTTGTATATTATCATTTAATTGTTAATTTAATTGTGTTTTGAAGGGACCATTATCACCTCAAAGTACCTTACATGCAATCAGTTCTGCAACATCTAAAATTAAAATTCCCATTGCTATTGAAGTTGTTAAGCCTATGCAACCAGTAGCTATTGGAGTTGATGAAGTACATATTGGTGATGAAGTTGGACCAATTGTAGTACATGAAGTTCAAGCTCAGTCTATAGTGACTGGCAACAAAACACCCCATCATGTTATTATGCCAGAAGAAAACCAAAACCAACAAACTATGGTTGTACAACCATTACCTGGTCATTTCATTATGGTTCAATCAGGAATCATCCAGAATCAAGATTCAGCTAATCAGGTATTTTCCATAATTTGTTTTTTCTAAAATCTAGGATATATTCAAATTTTTATTTGTACTATATTTAGGATAATGAAGGTAGTCCAAGACATAAAGAAGATAATAAAGAAAGAAAAGTTAGCCGTGCTCAATCAGTTGATTTGCATAGTTTAGAAAAGGTGATTTTTTTTTTTAATCATTAATTGATTCAATAAAAAATAACTAGTCATTTTTGGTGCAAAATATTTATGATCTCTGTTTAAATTTGTATAAATTATTTTTACAAAAGTTGTTCAATTAACAAACTGATTACAGCTTACATACAGTCGTTTGTTGTAATTTTGTTTTTTATGAATTGGTCCTTACCAAATTAAATGGTAATGAAAATTATTTTTCTTGAAATTTTAAATAAAATACGATAAACAGTATTTTAAGATTAATTGTATTTACCTTCAAAACTAGAAATTTAATTAATGTTAATTATAGAAAAAAAAATAAAAGTAATAACATTTAATACTTATACCTGTGTTTAATATTTTTTATAGTTAAATTATTTTTTAATTTGTATTACAGAAATTATCCAGTATTCATAATAGTACATACAAAATACATTCTTCAAATGTACTCAATCATTCATTACCTTTATCAACTGACAAACATATAGCACAATCTGCAGACACGGATACACAGTGTGATAATTTTCAACCAGTTACACACTCGGTATATATTAAATATATAATCAAACCATTCAAATAAACAACTACAAATAGTTTTTCTTAATCTATAATTTGTTTTTGTTTGTACATGTTTAGAATGATGAAATAGTGGATCAAAAAGATTTAGCTAGCCAAAATACAGATAATTCTATATCTACCAACAAAATTGAAACAGCACAAGTTATTAAATTAAATGTATCATCTTTAGATTTTCAAAATATATTACAAAGGTAAATTTATTCACAAATTAAATTATTTATTTAATTAATTGTGTTTTAAATTATTATTATTTTTATAATTATATAGACAATACTATGAGTTAGAAAGTTTACGTAAACGCCATTTGGAGGAACTTAAAAATTTTATGCAGATGGTGAGATCAGAAAGTATGCAACCTACTATATTATATGAAGCTTTATCTCCTCTTTCTAGTTCTAGTAAGTAAAATCTTAAGATATTTATAAAATGTTATTATTAATATTGAAAAATTTGTAGGTAAAAAATTACCTAATGAAAAGAGTGGAAATTCCAGATCGGCATCTCCAACATCTAATGATAATGGAGTGATGCAATTCACGCCAACCGGTTTATACTTTTTACCAGAGTCTGTAAAGCTTTTATTGCCTTCCACGGTTGAATCCCAACCCCACGGCACTAATCATTAGTCTGAAAAAAAGAAAATAATAATATCCTGAGCGTATTTTAACATTTCGTTATTCCATATTTTTTATCTATACTCAATGTTTATTTAAAACGCTTATAAATAAATTGTTATTTTATTTTGTATAAGTTCCTTAGAAAATTGTATTTATCAAATATATTACTTAACTAATAACTCAATTTATAATACTTATACTAATATGTTGTATTTGCACATTTATTTGAATGACTGCATAGTATAACATATTTGAGTGATTCTTTCACTCAGACCAATACTAACATCTTTATTCTAATATTATTTATTAACAATCTGTTATATTGAATTTTAATTTGATGTAAATTGTTGTAATATTTTTTTTTTTTTTTATTCAATATTACAGTTTTTCAGTAAATGTAATAATTTTGTAGATTACACATTAAATGTAATTTGTATAGTCTAGTCTAATTAAAATGATTTTGTAAATCATAAGGTATGCAATACAATCTGATCTATTAGTTAAATATCAGTGTGTATTATTTTTGTTTTAATTCGTGCATTATCAAGATAATTGAGTAGATAGAAAGTGATCACCTTTATTTAGGTTAAAAAAAGGTTAAAATCACATATTAGTAATTTTTTTAATTACTAATAATAAACAACTAGACTTAAATATGTGTTAAATTAAATCGTCCTGCCATTTTTAGCTTCAATCCAAAAATCTATGTTAGAAATTCAGTTTCATTAAACTACATACCATACAAAAACAGAGTTTTGTATGGCATAATTTAAATAAGTGTTTTATAGTGAAAAAAATATTCATTAATAAATATAGTTAAGACATTAATAATTCAATTGTATAAACCTATTATTATTTGAAAATTAAACTTGTAAAATTATTATTTATAACATAGTAGCTATTCTATAATAGAATTAGGATAGCTTTTAGCTAGATTATGAAACTGAAATTTGCAATTAAAATGTGTTTGAAAATGTGGTTACATTTCAAAGTCAAAATTGTCTTCATCTTGATAAAAAAAAATATTCAAAACAAAATCGAATATCTTCTGCATTGAAACCTTTTTAAAATTAAAAAATTTAATAATTTTCAATATGACTTAGTTGGTAGGAATCATTATACAGTATGCACCATAGAGTAATTACTCTATGATACTTTCCCGAACATTGTCTTAAACTTAATTTAAATTTGGTGCACTAAAAGGTAATATTCATAATACCATAGACATATTAATTAATTAGTATGTCTATTACTATAGATTAAATAATACTGTATTTAATCTATGCATAGACTTTATATTCATTATAATAATACTAAGTATAAGGTCTATAAATCTATACTATGACTCATAGGAAATATATATAATTCATATGAATTTTATCCGTCTATGCTATGATTATACTCAATGAGTACACGGTTTTCTTAGTAACCATGGTTTGATGTTTTATTTCAACAACCGTTATCTATAGCTGCGGTTATCAGTTTTGAATTTGCCACTTGAGTTATCAGCAGATGATAGCGATAATTGTTAATTATAACGATTTGTCTTGATTTTCTAGGAGTTTTTTAGTAATATAAATTCACGTAAATGGTCATATATGTTACATCCACATAAGCCTCATACGTTTGCATCGCTTTGAATCTTAATTACTGCAGCCATCGAACGGTACAGTATAGTGTTTGTTATTTTCATGTTAATATCTCTGCATGTGTAAGCCATCATACCAGTTGTGTAGGTAGGTATATTATATCTGAAAATCGCGACAAGAAGTGAGTACCTTTTGAGGAAGTAGTAATTTTCTAATTTTAATTATAAAACATAATGTGGTTTTATTGATTTATTACCATATCAAATTTTTTTTCTTAGAGTTCTAGGTCTATTGAAATTCCATCAATCGTGACTGTTAGTTGCCAATGAAAGTTGAGTGTCACAATCGATTTTATTGTCCATCAAGGAATCAACACAGCAATTTTGATATATTTTCTATATTCGTATTAATATTTCTAAGCAGATAATTGTTTCCTTGCAATTTTCTTCTTCCATTTATTAATACGTGTATACAAAATATTTGTGTATTTTATAATGCAAACTGTACTTGTAGTTTTTAACAGCCAAAACAGTTTATTTAAATCATATGCATTTTAATTTATTTTTATATTATTTACTAATGTGTAGATAAGTATAAATTGCTTTTGGAGTTTTCTTTGTGCTGTAACATATTGGCTTGATGTATACTATATGTTGATGCTTATAAATATTTTTTTGAGTGTTTATTAAAAAAAAACTAAAAATAGTTATTTTTAAATTAAGATGAAGACAATTTTGACTATGAAGTTGAACTACACCACCTATCATCCGAAGAAACTGAAGATGCTGAAAAATTCTTTCCACCAGAAAACTTTGAAGAAAAAGAGACTGCTGAAGTTCATGGAGATCAAAGAGTTTGGGTGAAACCCAAAGTCGAACTTTTTACTGATGACATAAAAGTAGAAGTTCTACATCCAAGCGAGTTCCAATCCTATCTTGATGTTAAAGATGAAATTGAAGAACCAGAAGAAAAAATTGAAAAGGATTCTATAAATATCGAGCCAATTGAGATTCCTTTGCAAAAAATTCCTATTCCAAGGCTTACAAAAATAAATGCCAACAAAAAAATAAAAAAACCCAGAGGACGGATGGGACGAAGACCTAGACCTATATTACCTATGACCCGACCCATAGTTTCAGCAACTACTCCTCACATAGAACCAACTGCTGCTCCACATCTAATTGTGCCTTCCCCACAAATGCCTGGAATTTCTTATCAAATATTTCTAGGCGATAATGGCAAAAATCCCAATAATCAGGTTCAGTATACCATGGTACAATCTCAACCAGTATTCTTACAACAGACTTCTACATCTGCTACCACTCCTTCATCCGTAGTTATTAGCCAACCTTCTATGGTCATGAGCCAAACGTATCAAATGACTCAAGCTCAGGTTCAGTCCGTTAAAAATCCCAAAATTGCTCCGAAAATGGTTGGCCAAAGTTACTGTTTATTTTGCTTCAAACTTATTAACAACATGAATGAACATTCAAAAGAGTGTTGGGCCAACCCTACTAGCAAAAATAACAAATTCAGAAAAATCGCTCCATCAACTCCATTATAGATTATTGAATTGCCTATGTATATGACTGGTGTAAAAGTTATCAAACCTCTAACAACAAAAACACAAACATGGTTTTTATTATTATATTATTATTATATGTTTAGGTGCTAATTATTGTACAATGATTTTTATTTGACCTGTTGATGTATATAATGTTATTATTTATTTATAATTTTATTTTTAACTTGAAATAATTTTACAGCTATATCAATGAATATAAATACATATGTAGTATAGACTTCAGTTACGCAACTTAATTTTACATGAATAAATTTGTATTTAAATATTTGTCCCAGATATTTCGGTTTTAATTGTAATATAGTTTTTATCTGAAAATTGACCCATGGTATGAAAAATAATTAAGTTATGATTGTGTCATGTAGCATTGCCATTAGTTTTTACAATTATACCAATGAAATAAAAGAAATCACTTTCTCATTATGGTTGCCTCTTTTCACTTATTTTTTTCCTTTTCACTGTTTTCCTTATGAGACGTATATCAATGCATCAATAGGAAAATAACAATAACAGCAAAAAAAATAAAATAATGTATTCGATTAATTATATTCTATGTGATTATGTAACAAAAAAGTTCGAGATATAAATTCGAGAATCGGTTTCTTTTTACTCCTTAAAAACCACCGGTTTTTTTCAAGTTTTTAATCCACGTACTTGTGGACCGAGTGCAGATATTTAACTGAGCAAAATATGGTGCAATATCGAGTGAATTATTTTATCTAAGGGGGAAATAAGTTATGATTTTAACAGAATTATTCTCATTTTCTGGTAGTAGGCTGTGTTCTTATTAGTTTATCGGTAGCTTGTAAGTTACTGTATACCAGTGTTTCCCAACCTTTATACCAAGGCACCCATAAATGTCGTTTATGTTGGGCAGGCAGTCCTCCAAAAAAAAAAAAAAAACCCTAGTATGTTTTAATATAAAGAATTTTATTATGTACTTTAACGCAATACTGTAAACGGAATACTGATATATATCTATAGTTTGATACTTAACTAATGTATTTTACTTATTAGTTAACAAAGACCCAACAAATATATTTTTCGACCCAATGTTAGGTCACGACCCATAGGTTGGGAAACGTTGCTATATGTAAATAGTGACAATGCAATGGTTCGATATTGACAATTTAATGAAAGGACCAAGCCAGGTGCCATTAGCCAGAATGTAGAAAAAATGATACGGACAAAGGCGTGACTCTGCACTGGAAACTCAATAATACCGCTTAAATTATTCGGCTGTGGATACTTCTAGGTAAACGCGTTGTAAGGCGACGTAGAATTCGAAGATTTTTATAACGTTTCGCCGTACGATGTGTATCGACTACATTACCGAAACGTATATGCGTGTAGAATGTAGATGGTATTAAAGCCGTAGACAAAACTGGCGAAATCGTTTATTTGAATATCACGCATTATTTTAAAGCAACCAAAAACTGGACTTGTCGATTTTTACGCGCATAATATAAATTCGACAATCCCTGGCCTTGGCGGACGCACGAAGGCCAACGACATTGGAGAATACCTTGGCGGCAAATGGCCGTACAGCGCGCACGCACACAGTTTCGTGTTTATGAGAATACAAAAAAAAAATAAAAATAAAAATCCGAATTTAAAAAACGTACTTTCGGCGAGTAGCTTGTCGGGAGAGGGAACGGCTATAAAAAATGAAAAACTATTTACTTTGTCAATAGTTAAATCCATAAATATGTTATTTGTAATAATGTGGCTAGGGACTTCATGGCCTTAAAAACCCGTATAAAGAATATGCAGCATTAAAGCTCTATAATACAACCAAATACATCATATGAATATAAACGAAATCGATTAAATGTACGGCACTTAAAGTTATAACCGGTGCTCATAACTTCTAGCATTTGCCTAATTTTTTTTTTTTTTTGAGAGGTTCTAGAGTGTGAATTATAAATTTGTTTCGAATAACTAAGAAGCTAAATACGAAATTTCATGTTGCATATTTTTGCATATTTCAAAATATAAGTAAAGTTCCATAGCCTTTAAATTTTTTCTTTATAATTACAAATACTTAATTAGTAGTATTAATTATTTATATTTGTAATTAATTCATGTTAATTAACTAATTCCTCTTCACATGGTACAAGTTATATATTTATTTATATCACAGAGCGACGCGAGCGATCATGATAATTTTTTTTAATGAGTAACATTTTATTTTTATAATAATTTTTTTTTCGTATGTCTTAGTATTTTTAGGGCATATTTAAGTGCTTATATGAATATTTTTAAAATTATATTATAGCGCTCATAAAAATTTTTTTTTAAAGCTCTAAATTATGAGCCCAGGTCATAACTAATAAATATATATTATATTATACATATTATTATATAATAAATATTAAAACTATACTGAACTAAAAAATTATAAGTATTAGTACGATGTTCATTGATACCTAATTAAAAAAAATTATATTAGTGAATTATTAAACTAAAAAAAATGATGATCACAATGAATTGCGATTTTTACTTTTTAGTGTAGTAAATATAGTACCTGCAGCATAATAATAATCCATCATTTGAAATATTTGATTTTGCAGAGAGAATTGAGGAGTGTATTGGTTTTATAAAATTTCTATTGCAATATTATAGTACTGAGAAGTGTAAATAAAATAGATATGATTTTTATTAAAAATATCTGATTCAACGAAGCATATCATTATAAAGTTCTTGTAGCACTTATAATGATTATCGAAAACTATGAAAACTTCTAGTTTTTAACTGATCTAAGTCATTCAACCGACTCAACCATCAATCCTATTTATATGAGTGTGTGACGTAAGAGTAAATATGATTAAAATTCTGCTAACGGACTAAAAATCACATCGAGCGATATCTTAAATAATACGCATGTGTGATCAAATACTTTTTCGGATTAATACAAATCTTGTGTCAACGTATCTACTATCTTGCATGCGAATAATATTTTACTAAAAATCAAATACATCGGATGCGGTAATAATAGGAGATCGTAAATAGAGTAGATCGAACGCTGCAACCGCGGCGGTGCACATGAAATAATAATCGACGTTGTTTATTATTAATAGCTGTTTATTCGACTCCGACAATGATATTGCATGATTTTTTGATTTTTTTTTAAAGGGTATTTATCGACCCACATTGGAAACACGTTGCAGTATAAATACAATTATATTTATAAAATAATAACATTAAATCGTTACGAAGATTTCCGATCGAAACGATAATATAATAATATGTATACAATGTGTATTGCTATATTTCCGATCGAGAAACGCGTATATTATAGCATATAACCTGTACTTTTTATTCAGCTACCGTTCGCACGACTAAGACTTGTGTATTACCGCAACATCTCTGATACACAAGTAGTTTTTGTAATCGAATTGAAAAGTAAAAAAAAATTTACGAAATTATAATTTATCTAACCTTATCGTGACTGGACAGTTAGTCGAAATATTAGCTCGTGCGTTTTATATACTTTTTTCTTATTATTTGTATAATATGTTTTTTATACTATAAAGATGATTTTTTGTTTTTACTAGTAACACGTTTATAAAACCGATATAACATGTATACCGTGTGATGATGATCCGTCCAACGGGGTTTAATCTATATCGATTTATTATGTTATTTTATCAAGAAACATCTCTGGCAGTTAGTCTGATTGATTTTAAATTCACGATCGATATCATGAAATATGAACATTTATACTGTAGCGGTTATTTACAGTTTTGCTTTGTTTCTGGGTAGCTTAACGTACCGCCGCGCCGTTGAGTTTGATTTTCTAACAAATATGGGCAATAAGGGCTCAAATAAGTAGCAATATAGGGTGACCATTGAATTGGCTCGCAAAACAGGCAATATTAAATGGGTCCCAATGTAATTTTAAACAAGTTGTTCTCATAATATAAAAGTTCAAAAAGTACGCGACATTAATTAAAATAACTTTAACTATACATTAAAATAATTTAAAATACAAATAGTCAAATAGTCAAAATTGTTAGTAAAAATAAAAATGCATATATAAAAAAAAAAAAATCACTTACCTGCACTGTTTTAATATTATTTAGTATAGGTTATATTAATTAATACGTCGGTGGTTGTAACTAATGCATTATCGGATTAACGATTAGATAATTTCAAGACTAATCGGCACTATGTCCCTCAAAGTATTACAGTCACGTACTATTTCAACTTTTATATTTTTAATGTATAATTGAATTTTTTTTTTCGAACGATTTTGATAACCAATGTATTTATTAAATAAATGTGCAGGGAGCCAACTCAATGCATAAATCTTGGGAGCCAATTAAATACGTAAAAATAACGATTACCTGAATTAGGGAGCCAATTCAATACCAAACTCGGTAAGTTATGGTCCCTTACATTTGTTTCGATGATTTGGATAAGGGAAAATAAAATAATTAAATGCTTATATGTTCTTTTTTTTCGTTGGAAATGTATGTATTTTTTAATAAAGTTTTATATCAAAACGAAATTCACCTTGATATCCATACTAAAATAATCGAAAAATGTAATTTAATTGCCTTGAAAATGTTCTAAACATATGTTTATTCACGTCAAATTGGTTATTATTTGAACTTATTTATGGGTACTTAATGATTAATTAAACTGTTACTTGTAAAATTAACGATTTATCTGCAAAAAAAAAGAAGTTTAAGATGTAACTTATATAAATTTACTTAATTTAAATTCTTAACAGCTCAACAGTTACAAACCTACAATAATTATAATTTGGTGTCAATTAATAAACTGTTGTTCTGTATACGGCTTATTGTTATCAAAAATAGTTATGATTACAAGCTTTCCGTGTTGAGTCATACAAATTACAAAATAGAAGACGGTTTTTAGGAGAACGTTTTCAATTACTTTTTTCTGTCTTATTGTCAATGTTTGTCGAAGCCACATTTTACAATCGTGTTCGGCAGATGCATCGTGATCATTCTCGTCGAAACGATTATTCTGTACATTGTGCGATACATAATATCGAGTATACATACATACGTATATCTACTCGTTCGAAAACCAGTTTTTGGATATTTCGTAGTCGAACCTTTTTTTTCGTCGGGTAGTGTGCTTGGTAAACCTACTGGTATACCTACCTGAATTTTTTTCTACCTGCTCTAGAGCACCCGTAAAAGACGCTATTATGTACATTTGAATCCCATAAAGTTGTTCTCCAAAAACCATTTTGAAACACCATCATCGCTGTGTAGGTATAATATTATAATGGCGAGGTTATTCACGCACACGCACGCACTCTATATACATATACAATATGGTTCGCTCACTGTCTCTCTCTCACTCGCTCTCTCTCATTCTTACTCTTACGTACTATATAGGGGTTAAAATAATGAATAGCAAAAGCAGCAGTAGCAGCAGGTCTAAAACATCGGGATCGAAGAGATTTATTGCCAAATGGTTATAATTCGTGTATTTTTTTTTATTTAATTTTAACCCGTATATATTGTATAGTGTATCACCGTACCTATTTAAATAAAGCCGTATCAATTATATGTTAAGTAATTCCGCAACGAGTAAAACGAACACATTAGTCGAATCTGCGTTGTGGTTTCAGATTTAAGTGTAGTTACTGCAGTGATTTTTTAAATATTTATCTCTAGCCATCCAGTGTACAATGTGTCGTATACGAATCTGTATCGACTAAATTTGAAATCGTGTCATTGTTATTTCCAGATAAATAGAATACACTGTTGTTTACTTCGTTAGTGAAATATATCTACACATATTTGTATGAAAGTTATAAACACTAGTTGAATGTGCATGACACATTGACACACATATGTTAATAACAGGGTGAACGCAACAAATGTATGAATATTATATCTACACCCCTCCATGGCGCCAATGCCTCAACTTTTTTACGTACAGTCGCACGTACTAGGGATTTATTCGTTTTCATAGTACCAACATTTTGTAGCTTGCACGTTGAAATTAATACAGCCGAAATAAATGTTTAAGAATATTATTTTATCCTTTGAAAAACCGTCATGATGCCGGGACAAAAAGATTTATGCGGTATTTGGTGTTTGGTCCGCTGCGTCGTTTACCATTTGTAACCCATCGGTTGCCAATAGTAAGAACGCCAGTGGTGCGCAACCTTTTGTAAACCACCACCCTTCGGTTTATAAAATCAACTCGACAAGGTCATCAGAATATTTTAGTTTTTTTCCAATTAAGCTAAATTTACATAAATACATACGTACATAAGTACGTAATAAGATGATACGACATCAACCGTCAACAACAATCCGAACATATTTTTTACATTATAACCAGATGATTGAGAACCTATTGTTGACCTTGAATCGTGAACACATTGGGTTATATACCCGAAAATGCTACCCAGGGTTACCCTTAAACCGGCTTTGACGCACAATCTGGTCCAATGTTTCCTTACGAGTAACACACGGGTAGGTTTGTATTCTGTTTTTACGAAAACTGACAACTTACACGTACACGTGTTACACGTTCTAAAATGTTTATTTGAACTGGGCACAAAACCTTTTACGAAAATTGTTCATTATTTGTTCTCCGTTTACAACCACTTTTAATGGCGTACTTTCCACAAAAATGAAAAAAAATGTTGCGAGTATTTGTTCAACGGCCGTTCTACGCATACGGTCTGAAAGTACGAGTAAGATTTTGGTTTCGGTAAAAAAAAAAAAAAAAAAAAAGTAACGATAAACACGAAACGTCAACTGCGTCTCCTAACCTCGAATTACAACTGGTTGGCGGATTCGAGTGGAAACCAGACGGACGAAAACCGTGGTTTGGTCCGTAAACTTTTCATCGCGTAGACGCGGTCCCGTGCGCTCACGTTCGTCACGCGATCGTATTTCGTTCGGATTCGGCACAGGACCGCGCGGGCACGTTTTTTTCCCCCTCAGAATCGCGGTCGATTCGCAATGCAACACGTTGTATGGGCCGGGGCGAGGCGCGCACGTCCGTCGCCCGGTATCCTGAATTCTCGGAATTCGCGGTATGCACATGGCGGCTGCCGCAGGAAATCCGAACAAAGATGACGTAAAAACGAATCGATGCCATTATTTGTCTGCAACGTATCCGCCGCAGAAAAAATATTTTCGGGGACCGCAACGTACCATTACTAATATTATCATCATCATTACTGTTATTAATATTATCATCATCATCATCATCATCGTGTACGCCGTTTACACGTTATACGGTCGTTTCCACGTACACGATGTACATATACGAGTATATAACACACACACGACACGCGTATCGATGTGTCACACGAGTGCTGCGTGTGAGCGCAAATATTACACACACACACACGCACGGGCAGTAAGCGCCGAGCTAGTTTTTCTGGAATTATTATTACACATCCAGAAACCAACGCACCACGTGAACGTAATGACAAACGTATACGCGTTTGTATGCGTGTGCTTGTATCGCGGCGGTTTTCCAATAAACGTACGGACAACGAAATAATAAATATTATTAATAATAATAATAATAACAGTTTTTTTGGACGTATTGTGTTGCGCGCGTTTCGGTAAAAAAAATAATAATAAAACACATATTTTATTATATCGTACACATCAGCAATATAAATGTGTTGTGAAAAGAACGCGCGAACCGGCGGTCGCGACGGGGACGGACCCGATACGGATCATCACGATGTAATTCCGTGAAATAGAATTTTCTCCCACCAATACGCGACCGGCGACGGTCGAAATTTATTATATATTATTTTTTTTTTCCCTTGTGTGGTTATTTTATTTTGTTTTTTTTTTTTTTTTTTGCCCGCGCTCTTCTCCGCATGACAGTCCGTTTCGACCGCGGCGTAAACAAACCGTCGTCTCCGAACTTTCCAAACGTTTCGGCGCCTCAGTGTGACCGGCCCACGAAACGCCGCCGTTCCCACCGGTTGCCGCTTTGTACCGCGGGCACACTGCGCGAGCGCGCGCGTTTCCTCGACGGCGACGACCGGATAACAGTGAAACAATTCCCCGTGTACGATTATTTTCATTATTACCATTATATTGTCGTAACGCGATGCGCGACGACCGAGCCGCGCCATCATCCCCTACCACCCGGTCCCGCACTAATTAACATTGGCCGCCGCCGATCATTAATAAAATCTCAATTACGCGCGCGCACGCTCGCACTGATAACGAAACCATTTTTACCGTGTGCACAGCGTGCGTACGCGAGATCCAAATATTGGCCCCCGCCGGGTGCCGTGTACAAATACCGGCGTCGTCGACGTTGCGGTACCTACGCGCGTTAGAAACGTAAACATTATTCGGCCAGATAAAAGCGACGGGGAACGAACAAGTCTCGACCGCGGCGGAACGCGACGGTCCGGATCGCCGGCGCCGTCGCCACTGTCGGCCGTCCGAAATTACCGTGCAAACTTTCAAAGTTGGCACTGCCGAAAAAAAAAAAACTTTATTGTCCATTACGATTTTTGTTGTCTCGGTTCCGTCTCGTTATTATTTTTTTTTCAAATTTTTTTCTCGTGCATCCCGATCCCCTCGTCCCGCCGCCACCGCCCACCGTACCCGGCGCCGCCGTTCCAGTCCGAACCCTCCGCGTCCCCACCCCCACCCGATTACCCGGTACGCGCAGCGCACCGCACGCACACACGCGCGCACGCACACCAATATTTCGGTAAAAACGCGACGGCTCAACACCACACCGGAGTGGCGATGCGATGGTATGTTTGAATTTCGTTACGCCGCGTTTCAGTGTGAAAATTTCTCTTTGTCCCACAGCGCTGCTTTCGCCGCTGCCGCCGCCGCCGCCGCCACCGCCGTTGAAAAACGGGACCGTCGTAGCCGACGCTTTTGTCGCCGCACACTTTAGTGGTTTTATTTAGCTCGTCGTGTCCGCCGCGCGACGTTTCATGTACAGACTACAATTCTACCACAATAAATACAATTAATAATAGTAATAATAATAACAATAATAATAATTTATTATTTACGACACAATATTACGATTGCATTAAGATTAAAGTACAATATTATAACATTTAGTAGGTTTTAATTTTTATTTTTCCCGAATTGTTCGTGTTACCATTGACTTTCATTTCGCGTCGGTGCGGTTTGATTTTTTTTTTTTTTCTTAAAAATTATTTTCCAAATTTTTGCAATTTAGCGTGGCGAACTCGTGCGTGTTTTTTGCGTGTGTGTGCGTGCGGAGCGTTTACACTACTGTCCGGCTCGAGCGCGTGTGTGTAGTGTTCGATTGTGTGTGTATGTGTATGTGCGTGTGTGTGCGTGTGGTGTGCACAACAGGTCGTCTTCGCGTCGGTTCCTCTCGTCGTGGTCGCATCGTGTTCAAGTGAACTGAATACCGAAACCATCACCTCACGCAGCGTTTGTTTGTTGTTTTTTTTTTTCTGGCCAGGCGTTATCGTCTGGTCGTTGCCGCAAGTTGTGTACGATTACGACGAGACCCGCTCGGGCCGTCGCCATGGATCACCAGCAGCAGCAGCAGCAACAGTTCTGCCTGCGGTGGAACAACCATCAGAACACTTTGATCTCGGTATTCGACAGCTTGCTGGAGAGCGGATCGCTGGTGGATTGCGCCCTGGCCGCTGAGGGACAGTATATGAACGCGCACAAAGTCGTCCTGTCCGCCTGCAGCCCTTATTTCGCGGTAAATAAAGTCACCCGTAAAATCTACCTACATAACCCTTTTGTGTATCGCGTGTTCACCACCGTTGACGGCCTGTATATTTCGCTGGTGGTGACCACGTTTTGCGCTTAACCACATTCCATATGTTTCACGCCGCCGCCGCCGTTGCGTTTTCGTGGTTTTATAACACGAGGCACCTGTTGAATGTGCTTAAAAAGACACGGTCAGAAAGTACGTCTACCCAGACATCCGTTTTCCTCAATGAACTCCTTTTTCTTTGGTGATAATGACAAATTATTTTTTTACAATGCCCAAAATTTTCTGTTGAATATTTCTCGGTTTTCGCCAATGTGCTTTTTTTCAATCTGATGTAATTTAGATACATTTTCGTCATATATCATATCCGGTTACATCACTGTTCCTCTCTCTAATCCAGCCAATTTGGTCCTTCAATACTGTATGCTCATGTATAATATCAATAACCACTTATTGTTTGAATATGGCAGTTTAAAATCAAACTAACTTAAATCTTTATCATAATCGTAGTAACGGTTAAATAGCACTATTGCTTGTGTTTACATATTGTAGCAGCTTGGTAATGAGCGAATCAGTTCATTTATACTCAATCAATCAATCATTTCAGCTGAGTTGTTAATTAGTTTTATTACCACAATTGGTATGAATTCAATATTCAAAGTCTATTCATGGCCATCTTATTTTAATCTTTTTAACTATCTGAAATAGGTTAAATGAAAAATACTTAGTATGGGTTATAAATATTATTACCCTAATTTTCTAATTAGAAAGATAACACAATGAAAAATACGTTCCATTTAATTTGACATAATATTATGTATGTATGAATGATATTACAAATTAATATTTAAAATGAAATAGATCCAATTGAATATTATCTTTTAAAGGTTATCAAGGTGATAATTAAATTTAGCTTTCTGTTTTACAGTAAGTACCTTTTTGGTTATAATGTATCTCTAACTAAATTGATTTTAGTTTTAATTGAAGTGTTTTTACTAGATAAAATAATTTTTAGTACATTATATTAAAACTATTGTGTACCTATCCATTTTTAAGAATCAACTAAATATTTTAATTAATTTATACATATTTTATATATTTAAGTACTTATTTTATTTAAATCTGGTAATGTTTAAATAACATTAATATTTGAAAAATTTCTCTATTGACTTATTAACATGCATTTACTATAGAAAGCCCGAATCATCTACACAGATTAATTATGTAATTAAGTCTGGTTGGATTTGTTTAAAACTTGTTTTAAAAATATAGGTAGGCAAGGTTGATTGCATAGAGTTTTGATATGTAAAAATTCATCAAAATCCGGGTCAAAATCTCATTTCTAAGTTCTTCAGTTATTATTTCAATTACTTATAGATTTTTAACTTGTTTATTAGTTTTTTAAGTTATTTATATTTCTTTGTAATGTTATGTTACGTTAAATATGTAACTAATATAGAACTTGTATGTATATCCACTAAAAATAAAAATAAAAAAATGTACTAAATATGCATTTGTAGCTAAAAAAACTTTTTAAATATATCAATTAAACAAATATGATAATAAAATATTTATTAACTTTCAGTATCTAAAATTCAAAACATATTAAGTTACATAATTAATTTTCTTGCAATAAAGTAAGGTAAATACCGAGGTAAATACATTGTTATATTATGATAAAATGGTTTTGTAATGTTTTCAAATCTGTAGTTATGTCTTGTTTAGAAGGAGATTTTTATATCGTGGATAATTTCTTTCTACCCCTACTAATCTTATTGTAGCATATTTGAAAGATGACACATAAACATTATAAAATTAATTTTATAGTTACTTTAAATATTTCATTTATTTAAATTATTTTTAAAGTAGTTTATAAATGTACTGAAATATGCATTTATATTCTTAAAATCACATATTATGCATTTCAAATTAAAATACATAAATTATGCAAAGTAAAAATTTGGTAGAACAATCAAATTAATCAAAATAATATAATTTGTGTCTATGCTAGTATTAATTTGGATTTATAGAAAAAATATTTAATTTCATAAACATCTGAACATTTCTAATATAATTCTTTATTATCTATGTTTTACTTGATTTTGTTGTTTAAATTTTTTTAATTTATGAATTTATTTTTGTTTCTATAAATGCTGTTAAAACGGTTTTATGTTATGATCAGTTTTTGTTTAACAACAAATTATCATTTAGTATTTGGATAATATTATTTAATTGATTTTTAATTATATTAACTGAACTCTATTATTATTTATTTCTAAATTGTTTGATGAATCTTACAGAGTTACTTTTATTTTGTATGTTGACTCTCTTTGACTGCTTATATCTTTGGGTTTCAATTATAGATTAAGTACCTAATGCTGAAATCAAAGTTAAAAATTATACATTTAAATTATCCATTAAATTTAGATAATGTAACTTTAAACCACAGCAATAAAATATTATTGCTGTAATATTTAATATTTGATCTAGGTATAGCTTTTTTCTTTTCTTTTTCCTTTTTAGCATTTTCTAATATTTTAATAAGAATAAATTATCCAGAATATTCTTTAAAATAAATATAACAAATAATTAATGTATTAAAATTGTTTATTTTATTCTATATAACTTATAATGCTGAATTTGTTAGTCAGACTATTCTTTTAAAAAGTATTATAATATATTATATTTTATTCTATTGAAAAAAATTTGATTTTAAAATAACTTTCTTTTATAATAAAGAGAAAATTAATTTTTTTTGCACTAGGGTCTTAAGATTAAAATAAGTTGTTAACGTTATATTAAAATAATTTTTTATTGATGTATTTCCTATTTTCGCTATTGTTTTTATTCAGTATTTTCATAAATAAATTCAAATAATTATGGTTATTTTAATATTCTTTAAACTATACTAAATACAATCTACATACCAGTTCATGCTAATAACTATAAAATACACATCTTAATTAAATTCTCAAATGAACTTTCAATTTGAGTTTATTTAAATTTAAAAAAAAATTAACAGTTATAAATGGTTTTACTATACACATTTTATGAATAATGTATTTTGTGTGATAGTATTATTGTTAATGTTTGGTTTCTAATTTTTTTTTTTTACTATTGAGATGACATAATTTTATAGATTATTTTAAAATTTAATCGGTTAATTTTAAAATAAAAATGAGATCAATAGTTATATACTTAAATAAATATTTAGTTGCAATCAGCTTTATGATTGTATTATAATTATATTTTAAATGAATATTTTAATGGATATTATAATATAATAAAATGTCATGTTTAAATTAATATAGTATCAATATGTTGGTAAGTAAGTGCAAATATTTATTATTAAATTATGGGTATTGTGTTTTAAATAGACAAATTTAACTAAACTTCATAACTAGTTTATAAATATTGGTTTATTAGTATAATTCTAATAATGTATTTTTTTATTAAGAAATAAATATTTTTCAAATTTTTCTGTTGATATTTTTGAATTTGTCACTGTAGAACATTGGTCATAAAAAACATAGTTGTTTAATAAATTTAGTGTTCATCATATTATGATTTTTATTTTGGGGAAACAATTATGTTTAATATTATTTTTAGTTAATACACGGAAACCACTATTTAAAAAAATAGGATTTTCCAAATTATATTAAAAAAATATATAATTGGATTAATTAATATATAAATTATTATAGTATATAAAAGTATTAGATAAACTTGGGAATTTATCCTTTCAAATGAGTGTATAAACTTTTTCATTCCTAAAGCCAAATTTATGTTGTTATTTTATCTCAGAAATCAAGCTTTATGAATCTTATGTTTTCTTGTTATATTCATCTTTATTGTCACTTTCTTTCATTAAAATTACTTCATAAAAAAAATGCTTTTTTAAATTGTTGTGATGATGCTATCAGTGTAAAATTAGTAAAAAATAGTTATTTTAAATTGTAGATGAGAATTATTTGCATAGAATTCAAGCATGCTCATGAAATAACACAAAATTAGTCTTCTGCCCAAAATTAAGTATCTTTCAACTTAACTGACATTACAATGAAGCCACTCATATGAGACCAGTTTATAAATAGAAATTATGTTTCTAATATCATACCACTTATCAGATCTCATTTTGTCTTGTTTTTAGTCATTGATATCTAAATATTGTGTGACACTCAAACTGTTGATAGTTTGATAGTTTTTAAATTGATAACAATTTAATAATCATATTTAAGTAAACTAACTTTTAATCCAATTTAATATGTAAACATTATTTTTTTCTTTAACTTTATAACCGGATGTATATGTTTTAATTGTTTATTGAATGAATGATATTCATGAAAGAGAATATTTTTGTATTAAAATTTGATTGATTATAGATTAAGTTAATAGTAGTTAATGTACTTTAATTACTACTGAACTATTAATTATATGAAATTTCAATTTTATTTGATGATTATATGTTAAACATCTTTAACTATTTTATGTTTTAAATTTGTGTCCCTAATAAGTTAATAGAATGAAAGATAATGTTAAATTAAAGAAAGCTTCAGATTTAATGAAGTTATCAATGTTAAGTGTTTTTTTTAAGGGTTTTGCCTAAAATTAATGCATGACGATCAGCTCCATAAAAAATATTTTAAATTTATGACTTTCCTTATTACTGATTATATATAATATTGTTGGATTCCATCTTTTTAATTTTTTAAAAATTTAGTAACTATAGTACTAAAACAATTTTATTTGTTATCAGGATTTAGTGATAAATTATTTTTTTTTAAAATATGCACTTAGTTATTATGTGTGATTACCAACAGGAGGCATTTCCATCTGAGAGTCATAATTATGATAATAATTTAAAACTATATAGTTATTAATAATATAGCTTTCCTGGAGTATCATGAATAATTATTCAACCTGTATACTATCATTTTGTCAAAGTGGATAACAATGACAATCAATTTCCAATAATTTGATTTTAATCATTTAGTTAATTTTTGGTAAAAGTAATATTTATATTTTGATTAAATTTATATTTTTAATAATTTTGTGTATTATATGAGTATATGACAATGAAATTGAAAAATAATACATTTTTAATTTGATCAATGAATTAATTAAAAATCTAATTCTGAGTTACTTTTTTATTATATAAGATATGATTTTACTGCTATTTTATTTGTAAAGTTTTTAAACATATTTTTTTCTTTTATCAAAGTATTTAATATTATAATTCAAATCGATAAATTGATTATTAGACCTTTTTCTATTAGATTAAAAATTTTTGAATGATTATTAAGGTAATTATTCTTTACGAAGATAAATTATATTTATATTTCATCAGTTTATGTAAAAATAAAATTGATAGTTCAGATTATAAAGTTCATGAACATTGAACAATTGATCCAAGAATTGATCTTTACTTATACATGATTTTCAATTTCACTCAGTTCGTATAAAAGTAAAGTTGGTATTTTTTTATAGATATGTCTTGAATTGCTAGACCATTTATTTCATAGGTGTTACATATAATTATCAAATTAAGAAATATTTTTTAATTTGGTAAAAATACCTAAGTATAATTTTATTAAAAAAATTTAACAAATATAAATGTAAATAGAATGAATTCCATAAATATATAAATTTATAACTTAAGATTAATTCTATTTCTGTAACTAAGTACTTAACATAAAGTTGATTTTAATTTTGTTACTGATATTCTAAATTCATTGAATTGATAAATTTACTGTTATGAGTTTTTTTTTATGAGTTTCTTTTAATACATTTGATATTATATCTCAATGAATGTATTTTGTAATTTTGTTAGTGTTTTCAATAATTCAATTTACAAATATTTGTCAATTATTTCTTAATTTAGTTTAAAATACTATTTTGTAATAACAGTATTTGTTTTATTATTTATCATTCAACAAATTATTCATCCATTTGCTATAAACATAAACACTTGATTTTTTATTAGAAATAATATTATTTTTTTTACTTATTGAAAATACTGATGTTTACATTTTTTTGTCTTTAAATGTTTTCCAGAATCTATAATTGTTAAAAGGTCATAAAAAGTTTCTTTAGAAGATAACCATTTAGATATTTTATTATATATTAATGTTCAATGGATGTAATTAACGTGTAGATAATTTATATAACTTACAATATTTGTTTTAATATTTACTCATAATGTATAGTTGAAATTGTTTATTTTACATGTAGAATGTTAACTTATATATTATTTTTTTAATATTCGGTAAGTATGGAGATGTATTTAATAAGCATTTATCTTAATAGTATTTTTCATCTTTTTTACAATTACATTTTGGTATTATTATATTATTTTATCTTATCAACTTCATTTTGTATTATTTTGTGTTTGAAAAATGCTTGTAACATTTCTTGATGTTATAACATATTTATTTCAATATTTGTATCTGAATATGTCATTAATTTTAAGGTTTAGTAAAAACAGTTTCTGCATTATTTTAGAAGTCAAGTTAGAATAGCAATCATTTTCTTGTCATGGTTCACAAAATTCTATGCTTATATTATATACCTATTGTACTGTAAATGTTATCAAAATATAATTTTGGTTATTTTTAATCTTCTCAAAAGACCACTCATATTTTCCAATATTTTGGAATTTGCACCTACTATATGCTATAATTCACTTCTCTTCTTTTATAATTTTTCAATTTTCTTTTCTTTTATCAAATACTTAATTTATTTTAATTAAATACATATTTTTATTTGCAAAATGTATGTAAGTAGTTACAGGGTTATAATAATATGTATTGGATAATAAAATAAAAATGTAGGTGTAGTAGCGAATAATGGCTGGAAGTATTTTTAATATGAATTAAATACCATAATCTTACAATAATTATTTATGTTATAAATTAATTTTTTTAAATTTAAATTACTAATGATCTTATATTTATGTCTTACTAGAACTATTTTCATTTTATCAGTTTGATTTTAAATAAACTAATTCTGTGAAAATCCTGTTGGAAACTATTATATAACTGTTTAGCCTCATCTCATTATTGCCTTTCTATTTTCCATTCACTGATTTGGTACATCCAACTTAAAGTGTACTGTCAATTATAATAGAAGGCACATAAAAAAAAAAGTGGCCTAGATATTTTTTTATGCAAGAAAATTATGTTTATTTAGATATTTTCATTTTTTTTATAATACATTTTTTTTGAAAACAATATTTGTATTTATATTGCTTACGTTATATATTTATTTAATAAAATTTAACTGTAGAATTAATCAAATTCGATTATTTTGATTTTTTTCAAAAGTATGTATAAAAATAAATTTTTTAAGGAATTTTTAAATATAATATAAAAAAGAAAATAATATGTCACACAATAGGCAATAAATGTGTAGGGTATTATATATTGTTTTGTGTATATATGAGGAGAAATTAGCTCATACTTTTTTTTTCTTGTTCCGGTAGACTATTGAGTAAATGACATTATTCAGACAGCTGTCTGATACACTTTGTCAACTTGACCTCTTTTATTAAATACCATTAGCAAACTATGTGAATTATTATTTAATAATAGCCTACCTACTATGTTATAGGCTTCAATAAAAATGTCTCATGACTTATCGTTAGACCATTTTATCTATGTATTTAATTTTAAGTAAATTACTTTGAACAGAGTAATTATTTTTACTATCATGTTAAATGAAATTAGTAGTATTTAAATTAGTTCTTATAATTTATTTTGCATATTGTATAATTTCTATGAGATGCCATGAAGTTAATTAAAGACAATAATTTTAAATCAAAATTGTACAACCTTAATTTAGTGTATGAGCTTCTTGCTTATAAAATATTCGTATTATAATTATTTAAAGGAATTGAAATATATTAAATAATTGAAGTTGATTATCATAAGTAAGTTTATAGCAAGTATTTTTGTTTAATTAGTAAATGTTATAAATTGTGATGAAAGTATTGGTATACCATAAAAATTGATTAAATTTATTCTTTCATTTTGTTGAACATTCTTCAAAGTTATCTCTTTATTTAATAATATAACTTTTATTCCTATTAATATAAATACATCTTATAGCTAGGGTCTTAAATTTCAAGTTAGATATTATACTTATCATCAACTAAATCATTGTTAGGGAATCTGTTAATTTTACTTAATTATGCTGTGTATAAAACATATCCATGTGCCAATGAATCTATGTATAACATGAATACTCTAGGTTTTTTTATAATTTTAAAATGTTTACAAAAAATTAATTTTGACTTGTTCAATTTAAAGTCTAATATTTATAGATTAAAATTATAAATTATTTTTGATAATGCTTAATAATTAATGTACAATTAAATACACAGCAGGTTTAAATGAACATAATGTTAAATATTTTTTTATAAGTGTTATCTATTATTGATTTTTATATATATTTTTTTATTTTAGATGCTATTAAATCAACATTTTGACAAATATCCGGTGCTTATACTTAAAGATGTAACATATCAAGAACTGCGGTCTATGATGGATTATATGTATCGCGGTGAAGTGAATATTACTCAAGAACAACTTGGATCATTCCTGAAAGCAGCAGAATCACTGCAAATTAAAGGACTTTCTGAAAGTAGTGGTCGATCTGATCGAAAATTAGATACTCGAAAAAATTCAACTAGAAATATTTCACCAGGACTGCCAAAAAAGTCTGTTACTCCTAAAGTTTCTGATGGCGCTTTTGATCCATCCATGACCGTTCCACCTCTACCACCACAAACCATTGTACCTACTATACCAAATACTAAAAGACGTAAATTAGTACAACCAGTGAAAAACTTTAGTAGTCTTGTGGTATCACCAGTTAATCCAAGTCGTACTAATGCTAATAATTTAGATGTAAATAATACACCAAATCCCACTGCACCCAGTTTAGCTGGTGAGGGTAAGGCAAATATACCATCTCCTCCAATCATTCCTAAACCTGTGGTAGAATCTGCAAGTGTTAAATCCGAAGAGGAGACACCTGATGTAAATGGTGTATTAATTGAAGATAAAGAAGATAATAAATTTTGGCCTTCTAGCGGTTCAATAAATGAGATAAAACTTGAAAAAACAGATACAGAAGAAGATGCTAGTGAGAGTGATAATAATGCCCATAGTGATGTATGTACAACAAGCACAACTGTTTCCACCATTACAACATCACAAATTAATATGACCAATTTCCGTCCTGAAGAAGGTAAAATACATTTTTACATTGAAGTTAAAAGTTTTTGAGATGTTAATATTCATTTTTTAATTTACTATTATACTGATGTATTGTAATTAAAATAAATTCTTTTGTTATTAATAGAAAAAATTATGTTTAATGCTTAATTTTATAAATATTTGTTTTAGGTATGGAACTTACTGAATATGGAGGTATGAATATACCACCAAATATGCAGGATCAAGGTATTTTTAACGACTTTGTCTGTTGGACATTTGTCGATTATGTAAGTTAATAAAAAATATTTATTACAGCATTTCCCTTAGGTTCTTTATGGTGGAAAAACTTTGAACAAAACTCCAAATATGTGCGCACAACTCAAGCAAATCCATTCAGTTGTCAGCATTGTGGCAAGAGATACCGATGGAAGAGTACACTGAAACGTCATGAAGTATTTGAATGTGGAGGTAAAGAGCCAGTTCATCGTTGTCCTCATTGTGAATATCGGGCTAAACAAAGTGGTAATTTAAGGGTGCACATACGCAAGTATCACACAGCGTTAGAGTAAGTTCCTAGATGCGTCACAACATCCATTTTAAAAGTTGGAGTAGTTAAAGCTCTAACTTTTTATTTTTAATTTTTTTATTATTATTACTTTTAAAATAAACTTCATATTTGCTCATTGTTGTGATTTCATGGAAACTTCATCAATCAGGGTTCAGTATTAGCTTTTTCAAATTATTGAATAAAATGAAACATTTTCCTAACTTGTTTGAACAAATAATTTTAAGGCTCAATATCAATCCGAGTTGATTATTTTGATTTTATTGTAAAATGTTCTTAATACATTTATTAACTTAATATTGTTTCCTAAACGTTGGAATTTAATGTATATTTTTAATATTGTCCTCATTATATGACCAAACAAAACATCTGGTGTTCTATGTTATTTGCATGTGTCTTATATTTAGGAATTTTTTTATTTATGTAATTGTAGGACAGTGTGCGTATTATTTGATATTATAATTAATATTATGTATGCAGTATTTAAGAATTAACCGCGACACTTGTTCCTAAAATATATGAAATTACACAGACGTATAATTTAGATGTAAATTAAGTATAAGTTTTTTAGTATTAACTAGTTTTTAAGTGTTAGTACTTAAGTGAATTAATAATTAGTAAGTACGAATTTCAAAGCTCATGAATTGTTTAACTCTATGTGATAAAATATTGTTTTTTCTTTTTTTTTTATCAATGTTTTATTATTATTATTTTTTTTTTTTACGGGTATACCTCACTATGAGCTTCCAAAGTGCCTTATATATACACATGTGATTTTTGAATTTTACTTAAACTACAGTTTCAGATAATATTTTTAAATCTAAAATAATATGTACAACTAGTGTCTTCCAAATGTTTGTTGTATTTTCAGATTTACATGTTTTTGATTTTTATTTATGTGTGCTTTGTTATATGTTAGGTTTGTATTTTTATATGATGGACAAAACTGATATTGTCTATAGATTACCATTGTAATATGTCGGATTAAAATTGAACAAATTCTACTCTAATGAGCAAATGTTAAAGATAGTACAATTGAGTATTAGGGTAGGAACAATATTATATGAATTTGCTCATGCAGACAAATGTTAGGATTTAAAAAAAATATATATTGACTGTTTATTTACTACGGGTTTTCAACTAATGCACTCTATAGTTTAAATAACATAACAAAAACAAAATACATACTACTATTTTTCCATGACAATAATTATTTATGTTATATAATATATATTTAAATATATATTCCATCTGACTGAATTAGATCGATCTGACTATTTACAATGTTTATTATTGTATTTTTGTGTTAATAATGGGCATTTTCCTTGATTTATAATATTTACCATCATACATTTTTTTTTTTTTTTTTTTTGTATACGTTTATATTATGATTTTTTTTAATGGTAATCAGGTTAGGAATATGGTAAGTGCCCTATTTTTTTTTTTTTATACATTTTATATGATGAATTATACTTAAGACTAATTTTGTTAACTATTAATTTTTTGTATTATTAAGTATTTGTGTTGGATTTATAATATTATTCGCTTTTTTATGAATCTATTATAATTTTTTAGGTATCTACTTATTCAATTTTGCTATGAAATAAACACGTAAATATACCTATGAAACTTATATGTGCGATTATTATTTTTATTTGTATTAAAAAAAAAAAACGCAAATAATTAATTGAATAGCAGTTTTGCCATGGTAAGTTCAATAAAACGAAATTCAAAATAATCATCTTATATTTATGACTACAACAATCTCGTCGGTCTAGTTATGAATTTATGATGTTTTGAAAAGCAGACGAATGTGCGTGTGTATGGTACATGCACAAAGTATAATAGGTGAATAATAATATATTATCAATTTATACGGTTTTGCGATGTATTTACGATTTCACTACAGGTTTGAGCGTATCTGAAATGAGGAAAGCTATATAAGCTTGTACCGGCCACGTATTTTTTCTTTGACCGAAACGAATTGCAATTGTTCACGGTTTGGTCATTTGCGATTTGAAATTTTATTAAAGGCAGAAAAAAAAACAATAGTTCTACGATTGATGATGAATTAAGAGGTTACGTGCGAATTCGAACAAAAAAGATGTATTATATGATCTATTGTCTCGATTTTTATGTTGCCCTTAATCCGTTAAATTTATGAATATCAAAAACCTTCCGTCGAGTATGATTTCTTTTTAAATAACAAAACTTAACGCCCCGAATTCCTTTATATTAACATTTACTAATAATGCAGACCGGCGATTTATAAAATATATTCTAGAAGTTAATGATCCATACCATAATATTCTTTTACTGACATGTAAAACAAAATATTTATAAAACATGAAAAAGTATTCACTTTACAATAATTTTAGTTTCAGAAATGTATTTAGTAAGTTTAATTAAAAATAGACGACTTGTATAATTAGGAAAATTTAAATTTAAACCAACGGGATTTATTCAAGTGAAGCACCTATTGGCCAGAATTGATTATGCTGTCCTTGGTTAATTTTGTTTTTTGTCACAAATTTAATTTTTACAAATAATATGAAAACCAACATAAAACTGCCCAATGTTAATCAGTCTAATATACATGGTTGATTATTATTTATTATCTACCGGTTGTGATTAAGGTATTTTTTTATAACAAGTTTCGTATACATAGTATTTATGTAAAACTAAACAATTGGGGTTCCATTAAACGAATCTAATTACCCCATTTAAAAGTTCAAAACTTTAAATACCTAGTATAATTAAAACTTAGTCATGTACTATTTTTATTACAAGATTTGACATTTGAATAAAATGAGTTTTTTGCACTATATGTACGTACTTACTACTTTAGATATACGTATTATGTTGGTACAGTGTGGTGAAACTTGATGGCAAATCAACGGTTTATATAGTTTTGATTTGATCATATTTATTTCCAATTTAATCCCATTCTCGTTGAAACTATTTACTTTCCATAAATTTCGTAAAATGTTTCGTTTCTACACGTAGACATTGATTTCATTTTGAAAGTCATAATATACACTATGGCATTATCACATTAAATAATGAATAATAAAATGTTTTCTTTACGTATATATTACAATATTTTATATAATCCAACAGTTAATATTATGAAACGTAAAAATGAAATTTAATCTTAGCGTAAATGTCTTTAAATGCTCTTATTTTTTGTGGTATATCTGTTAAATTTGAATTAGAAAATCATTCAATAGAGCACATTATAAACATATATTATTAGTTTAACAGTGCCGAATCCAATCCAAACTTTGAGTTAACCATGCATGTCTATTCTAAATAATAGTTTTTTTTTATTTTTTTGGAAAAAATATATTTTATTAGTATCATATTATTTAATTTGTGACATTTTACCTTTTTGCGATTTATTGATATTTGAAAATTAAACGATAAATCAATTTCATAAATAAGATAAATAAATTATAATGATTGAAAAATAATAGTTTTCTTTCTAATATACAAGGTATTTCTAATCATTAGAAATCAAGTAATTCAAATCTATAATTTCTGTATCAAGTATTTAAACATGAAATTCTATAACTAATAAATATTAAATAAAATATGTTAATGATTAAATACTCAAAATAGAACATGTTTTTGTCGTTTAACCTTTTACGTTAATGTTATATTAAGACTTATAATCTTATTAAATGTTAATAATGTTTTATCAGGAAAATTTCCTTTTTTTTTAGTCATCGTTTTATAGTTTGAAAAGATACTTGTAACTATTTTTAGGGGGACGGTGTTATATCTCAAATGTGTATATGATTATTAACAAATACAATTTAATTTTAATTAATAAAATTCACTTACGTTTATAATAATCAATATAAACCTATATAATTATGTAACATAGTATAATCGACAATACAAAATAATTACCATAAAGGTGTGTATAGTAAATAATAATATATTGAGTAGTGGGTAAAATTAACTACGAATACATTCTAATTATTAGGTCGAAAAAATAACAGTAGTTCCTGTTGTATTAAGTAGTTCGATGCGATTTTTTTAACTTTCGATATTAACTTTTTCTTTAACTTTTGTGTGTTTTTAGTTGTTTGTTTATTTCATTGTTGAAACAGTTAAACATCATTATACAGTGATATATTACAAGTATCTTATAATGATGTATATATTATCACGGTCAATAGGTCACCTTGTCACCAAATAAATCATAGGTTAGACTTAAATATTTATATAAATAAATAAATATTAAATTTAATACTTAAATAAATAAGCTTAAACTTATGTTGTATGCTGGTATTACGAGGATTCTTACTTATATGTGTTAATATATTTAATTAATACCTAATTAATTATGTTATAATCAGGGCATGGGATTTAAAGGACTTAAAGTCATTAAAATAAGTGCTTAAAAAAGCACTTAAAAATATCATTATAAGCACTCAAATAAGTATTTAAAAAACACAAATTTAAACGAAAAAGTTTAAATTAAATTATTAATAATTTCTTAATCAGTAATTGTTAGTTTGATTCTTTAATACTAGTAAAATACCCATTTTGTATTTACATTTTTACTCGGCCTATACTCGATACTCGGTTAGTATTAAAATTTTTACTCGGCCAATACTTAATACCCGGTTAGTATTAAAATTTTACTCGGTCAATATTCGATACCCGGTTAGTACTATACATTTTACTCGGCCAGTACTCGGTTCCCGGCTTAATACCAGATTTTTTTACTCAGAAAATCTCTACTTATGGACAAACGGAAATTGAAGCTGCAAATTCTACTGTGAAAGTATAGTATTGTGAAGTATCGACGTGATCAGCATTCTAGCAGGTAGGCTATCTAGTTTTTTCGAATGATCGTGTATTCTGTTCTAGGATTTTTAAATAATTATACCTGGATTTCATGTTTTTAATTTTTGGCGAACGTACTTACTGATTGAAATATAAAAGAAATAATTTAATAATATTTTAAATATAAGCTATATTGATAAATCAAATTAAAACCACTAAATATATACCTATACATTAATAAAAACTAATGCTAATATGGTAATATTAAAGAATTAACGTCCATTTAGGGAAATTCTCAAAAAATGTTTTCATACCTAAAATACCTAGTATATAAATATATGTACTACATATTAGCATTAGTTTTTATTAGAATATATATTTACTGTATATTTATATATATTCATTATAATAAATTTTAAATGTTGACACTGCGCACGTCTCTGGGTATTAAAGAAGAGTGATAGACTGTATTGTCTTTTGCCAATCTAGTATATAGTCCATTAGAGTGATTTTTTTATTGGTGCAAACTTGTATTGTGATTGCGGTAACCACATATGACTGTTAAGTTTTAACCGTTTAAAGCAAAGTAAAAAAATTGATTCGTGAGGTCCAATTCGAATAGATCTCTATTTCTCCTTTCCCGTATGATGATATTCGCGATGCTTTCTATCTCTCTCGGTAATTACGAGTCCATCAGCCCATCAAATTGTCTTACTCCCACCATAATGCTTATTGCGATATTGTTAAACCATTTTGTTGTGAACTACAATGCCTCAATTTATTTCAAATATATATCACATTATTAATCATAAAATAATGCTTTGTTCAATTATCCGGACCAAAATATATTTCATTATTTTTTAACCTTTTTATTAATACGTTAAATATACTACGTATTATTTAGGTATATCCATGTATAGGCAATCTTAGACATTATTTATTTGTAGTAAATACTTTTGAAATGTATTTAAAATTCGTAAGTAGGCCTATTATTAAGGACTTGAATGAACAAGTATGAAATACGAGTATAGTACATTTCCCAACAATTATTTAAATATAATTACAAATAACATCAAAAAGTATATTTAATGTGGTGTTTCAACACTATCAAGCCCGGATTAGGATAATTTAGGGCCCGGGGTCAAAACATTTGAGGGGCCTATATTAATATGTAATAATTAAATATGTAGGTGTATGTTCTATAATCAAAAAATAGTTTTACAGCTATATCTTAAATACCTAGTAATAATATTTCAACCGATGTAAATTCGTGAAGGCAATCGACAGTATTCACTGTACTAGGGTGTTCCTATAAATCCTCTTTACTTATTATCATCCTGATAAAAATAGACGATATTTTCGATATTATTAATATATTATCCATTATCCATAGAGTACAACCTATAGGAAACGTTAATGTATTTTATTCAAATACTAGTTTCTGATTTGATAAAAAAAAAAAAAAACGTACTACCCGCCAGGTGCCCATTATTGTTTGATATCCATTGTGGGCCCGGGGCCATGATCTCCTTTGCTCCCT